GCTGTCCACCAAACACACAACAAAACCTTTTTTGGGTGCAAGGAAGCCTTGGGCGTGTGTGATACCGAATGAGTAGGCGACAACCAATGATACGAACGCTAGAGTTCGAATACAAGATCCATTTTTCGTCGCAGGTTATTAACAGATTAAAAAATTGTTCATTAGCGTTGCGTGAAATGTTTGCTCAACAAATGGTAAGGCGACTTAATTTGTTATCATTTGTCAGTTCACGTCAGACCCATTTGCTTAACTTCCACGTCTTTCCTAGCTTATGAAGATGCAAGCGTATGGTTTCAGGACTCACTTTCAACATTTCTGCAAGTTCTTGGCACGTTGTCCTGGAATGTGCACCCACAACCTGTCGAAGATCCTCGTTGTTCATGATTTTTGGTCTCCCTGAGAGCGGTTCATCTCTCAATATGAGATCTCCGAAGAAAATTTTTTGAACCACTTCTGTGCTGTTCGATCACTCTGAATGCGGTACATACTTTTCGCGCCGCCGCTGCAGCTTTTGTACCAACTTTGTACTCATACAGTGAACAACTTCGAATTACTGTGTTAGGGGAGGCAGTAGCGGTGGCCGCAGTAGTAGACTCTTCGGTCTCCTGATCAGTCGCCGTGCGCTGAGCGGGTTCAAGTCCCGTCCCAGGAGAAATTTTTCTCTTGGCTATGGATGTTGTGATTGTTCGTAGGTGGTAGATGGTCTCTAACTGTCGAAAGCGGAGGTACCACCCAGCGGTTCTCGTAGGCGGAGCCAGAATGTGGCGTCCCCCTCCCCCTTTCCCATGTATCCCCCTATACACCACGGTACCCAATGGGTGCTTAGGTCTTAGGCCTTCGTGGTAGTAGGAGTATAAAAAAAAAATTCGTCGCCATTTTCAATTATTAAAACTAGGTATGCAACAATTTTCTGCAACTTCTTGTGTGTGTGAGAAAAGAAGGATTAATACTAAAGTGACAACAGGTAACAAACAATCGCTATCGATCAACAACATCCATGGCAATGTGCGATATACAGCAACCGCACGAACTTGTTTGGTTACCTGATATAACTAAGTGGGTATCTGCGTAAGCCAGGACATATGAATGCCCACCATTATTCCGAAAACTACCAAGACCTACATACAATGGCATTGAAAAATCATGTGATGCGCAAAATACAGGTCTGTTAAAATTGAGACCAATACAATTCAGATCACAAGGATGCTGTCATCATAACAAACCCATTTACGCGGGAACTGTTGCCTCAAAACAGCGAATTTATTTCAAGAAGACAAACCAATTTTTTACATCTGGTGGATTCATTTTTCAAAATGAATGTAAAACAAAAATATTCCATCTTCCCTAGAATCTTGAGTCGTTATAGAATTTGGGATGCCAACATAAATCTGAACATCGAGGTTTCTCCTTCAGCTATTAAGCTTCCTTCAGTTTTGGTGTAAATACTGTACGCTACTGGAGTGATAGCTATCTAATACACATATATGTACAAATATGTCTTATTTGAAGAAAGTATTGCACTCACTCATTTATTGATACTGTAAATCCGAAACAGAACCGCATCTAGCTGCTGTGATGATGATTTTAGTTTAATACTGATGGAGTACTATGATCCAAAAAAATCAAATCAATCATAGGGCGTGCTTAGATGAAAGTAAACAGTTTGGTAAATTTTGCCGCTTGTTTGCCTGTCACCTTGCTATCCAGTAACTACTATTTAGTACATTCTTAAACTGAAACATTAGCAATGTCAACTTAATAATAATGCCATCATTCACTACTAAGTCTAAGAGTCAAACGAACAATCGTACAACTTGAATTAATTTTATTGTTGCAAAATTACTGACTTATCTCACTATATCACAACTTTAAGTAAATATATACGACAGCATTATTATGATGTACTGTCACAAAAAACTCCAAGGACGAATCATAAAATCATAATAAAAGTTGATAGTCCACAGGTCCATCAGATCTTTTAGTTTATTAAGGAAGTGATTTAACTTTGAATCATCGAAATATTCTTTTACCAGTCTTCTGCAACTGTTATCTTTCTGATGCTCTCCATCCGAGGTCTGTAAATTAAGTGATGAAACTGTTTTTTTTTATTTTTTTATTCAAAAAGAAACTTTCTTCTGAAGCCACACAACGCTGGAGGCGGTTCTCTCACTCCTCATAGTAGTGCTGGAACTCATATGCTGCAATAGCGTTCAGCTGGTCGGTTACAGCCATTTGACGGTTTTAGACTGTCCCAAAATGAGTTCCCTTGAGGTGATTTTTCAACTTAGGGAAAAGAAAAAAGTCACAATGACTCAAGTTAGGTGAATAAGGCTGAGAAGCCACAGGAATATTTTTACTGGCCAAAAACTCGTTTATTGACATTGCTGTGTGACAAGGAGCATTATCGTGCAACGCCCAGTTGTTCTTAATCTGATGAACGGTGGTGTGAGTCAAATTTAACTCTTGTCCGATCATTCCGACTGTCAACCGACGCGACGGTCTGAACACACAAGATCCCGGATATTGTCGATATTTTCATCGGTTCTTGAAGATGAAGGCCTTCCGTTTCGTGGCTCATCATCAATCGACTCTCTCCGTTCTGAAAATGCCTTGAACCACCGAAAAACCTGGGCTCTTGACAAAACACTATCTCCGTAGGCTTGCTGAAGTTTAGCAATAGTATCCGTTACACTGTGCCCAAGTCTGAGGCAAAACCTGATAACACACCGTTGCTCGGAATTGATGTCATTCATTTTTAGAACACAATAGGAAAAACTGTTTCACAAAAACAAATCGCTACGGACAACCAAATGACTCGAGCGAGTTCAAATATGTATTGAAGGGAATCACATGTTCCCCTGCCTCCTCTCCAAGCCCGGTGCGTCCAGTATTTGCTAGATGGAATGCTACGTTTCAGCCTCATCACTTAATTTACAGACCTATATATATATTTCATATTTGTTGGTTCATTTGGCTCTAAAATCTTACTACTACTTTTCCACTCGTTGCTAACTCTGAATTCTTATGAATTTTTATCGCTCAGGTGGGTTAAGATTTTGTTTAAGACATAGAAAGAGTGAGACGTGAACGCGCAACTACAAGTCGTACGACTTCCAGCGGTTGAAACAAAATAGTCTAAAACATCCAGGCCACAATTTGTTTTGCACGCATTTATACCATGCATGCAAAAGCATCGGATAATTAATTCTTAAAGTTCTTTTAAAGCTGTTCCAATTGAGGTGGAATTTAGACTAGATCCAATATCTTCAATCATTCAATCATAAAACTTATCATGTTTATCGAATTAGCCATTTTAAGCGTTTTTTTGATGAACATCTTTATGCGCTATTAGCACCAACATGAATGGATGCTAATTTGATGTTTAAATCCTAATACTTGAAAAAACATAATATTGTGGTGCATCTGGCGCCTAAAGGAGTTTGTCAAAATATAAGATCAAAAAACTCTTACTGTTACTCAAATCAACATGTTTGAAGGTTTTTTCTTGATACATGCTTATTTTTCTAAATCTGTTGTAGATCTAAATAAAGATACCTAAACATGATATAAATGCAATAATGTGTCCGAAATCAAATCTTTCATTTTTCAGGAATACTATGAGCTAATAAATGCTGAAATTTACCCACTTTCTTTTTTAAGGACGTTTATCCAGTACTCAATAGATGTACGTGTAGATCCTTAATGACTACAGTTTTCTCATTTCAACAAATTTGTACGGCTTCTTAAGTTAAAACTTACTTCCCAAATCTGTCCCCCTGTTCCTTTCAAAATAAGGAACACCCACCACTTCGGTTCAATGAAACAAAACTAAGCCTGTTTTTTTTAAGCATTTTATTCTTCGAGAAAGATGTAACTTAGCGTCAATTCAGATTTCATCCCCTCATCCTTCACTCGGTCTTTAATTCTTTGTTCTAGAGGGGACTAAGGAAGTCATCTAAGGAGACCGCAGTACTGGTCCCTAAACCCAGGTTTTATGTTCAACTTTTCGGATTGCTTAAAATGCCGCTAAATGAAAAATTGGGAGCAGGGGGGGGTGTTTGCCCCTCGTACGTTGGGCTAAGTAAACGTAGCACTTACTTATTATTATCAACTTGTCGAAATGCGGGCCACATTACCGGCTTAAAATGTTCTAATCAATAATTGCATTTCCAAATATTTTGATACACACGCTGAAGTTCCAATATTGCGATTTCAAGTTCTCTTTTCATTGTTTCAGACTACAATCTAAAAATCAGTTCCATATTAACTTTAATTGTTCGTAGTGGAATAGACTAGGCCACCATTTACAAGTTTCTTTACCTATTTTATTTCGGAATTATATCACCCAGTTTTGTGGCACGAATCTTCAGTCGAAATGTATTGACATTCAAAGTTTAAGGGTGGCGAGCACCAACCGAGAGGATTCAAAACAAAGTTGGGTTGTTGCTGGTAATATAAGAAATTCGTGGTGAATTTCTGTACCAAAAAGACTCTATCTGTTGATCTGTATATTTGACATTTTTAAATGTTTTAACAATAGAGTTTGTGTAGAAAAACATATCAACATTTTTGAAAAAAGAAGATAACCATAATTACCCCACTAGAGCTAAATATTTGTGAATACTCCTAAACATCTCACAAGTACTGTCCAAAAATGTTATAGTTATATGGGCTCTAGGTATCAAGGATTCTCCAACACTCAAGGGATTTTTGTCGGAGGGCTGTTTTTACAGCATTTTGTATTTCTTAAACTGTGGATGTTTTTGTCTCACGAATTTGTCTCACGTTTGGCTTGTTATAGTGCCTGCTACTATTTAACAGAGAAATAAAGGGCTTATTATTATAATTAATTTAATAAAAAAATAATTAACGATTTGGAGAAAGAATTCCTGAAGTCGTCAATTTCATACATTTTCAGCAACATACCAACTTAGTTTTGAATCAAATTGAAGCTTTTGATTCCTATATTTAAAGACAACTTATTTTAAACAAATACATACCAATAGCGCGACAAGGTCGGAGAATGATCTAAAGCTGTTTATGCAACTTTTCCTTGCAAAATCTCAATCTTTGTTGTTTTTGCCACTTAACACACTGACACGATTGTCCACATTCATTAAACTCTTTGATGATGCGTCGCTAGCTGGGGACGCGCGCGTTTTTCGCTGCAGCGTCTCTTTGCCCGATTCGTAAGTAAAAGTACCACCTGTTGTTGGTACTACTACTACTGTCGACGTCGGTAGTGCTGCTGATGACGAGAGATTTGCAGCTGTAATCGAACTAAATTAAGCGGCGTGATACCCTCTCATAAGTACCTTCGCAGCTGACGCAAAAGCGTCGCGGTGCTCCAGTACCTACTACTGATCGATATTGATCAATGAGATAACATGCGCATAGACTACTTTAAATGTACAAGCTTCAATAAATTTTTATAGTACTTGCGTGAATAATGGATGAATGAATGGTTTAATAAGATGGAAGAGGAATTCCAGTGACGAAAGTCATCAGTCAGGCCATTGGATATTATCTTTTACGGATTTGTCTATGGAGACTACCTGGGAGGAACTGAAAATTTCGCGGTCTTAGGTGGAACGGCTCGGTCTGGAGACGCGCCCAAGTTTGAAGGTTCGAAAAAATGTGAACTTAGTGTCTTGGAAACTTCTCAATGTTCTCGCTACTCCTGTCTCTTCAAAGCACTAGGCCGCAAAATACAATGGCGCTCACAGGATTTCTGACGGAGGGGTGGTGGGGGTTAAAATGAGATTCCTAGGGTACTTTCGTCATATTTTGAAAAAATTAGGCAATATTTCACAAAAAATGCCTTATACCACGCCAGAATGACACGGGAGGTAGGTTGGCTTCAGGTCAGTCAGATAAAAAAATCAACATGACCTTAGTAAAAGTTTTCTAGTTTTCGAGATATTGCCATTTTAAGTTTTTTCAAAAAGTCCCTACCTTTTGCTTCTTTTTTGACTGTTATGGCTATAAATAACTTCTAACTTATAATCTTTCCTGGGCTACCATTAATAGTTGGTTGGGACAACCGAGTATTCATTTCATTGAAAACTAGCACGGTATCCTAGAAAAACTAAATTATTAAATTTGATATCAATGTCAAAAACCTTTACTAAAGTTTAACAAAAATAGTTTAACATTGGTAAGTTCTTTTTACTAAACACTGAGTAACTCCAAGTTTTGTTGAAGTCGAAATACTTGCGAAATACTACAAATAAAAAATAAGTGCAGCCGTCTTTTGTATCCAAATCACTAACCATGTGATTGCCTATCTCGCTCTCACATTCATTGTTCTGTCCATAGCACTATATGTCATTTTTTGAAAAAATTAAAAGTGGCAATATTTCGAAAACTAGAGAACTTTTTCAAAGGTCATGTTGATTTTATCTGATTGATCTGAAGCCAATCTACCTCCTGTGTCACTCTGGTATGTTATTTCTGGGACACCCTGTACAGTTGCACGGAATATGAGATCTAAGGAAAAGTATCAAAGTGGGAACACTATAGACCTCATTATTTTAGATTGTTGAACACTTGGTCGAGCAAACGGCGCAACATCAACAAGACTGCCACTAGAAGGCTGTAGTTGACTTTTATTAGGTTTGCCAGAATGGGCTACAACTGCACCCGGTTGTTGAACTCTTGGTTCAGCATGTCCAGCATTTTTCTACCCTCTCCCCCTTGGGAACGCCAATATGATTCCCAGAAGTAAAATTGTCCAAGGAATTCCAAAATGCCTTCAAAATTGTGATCTCTTAATTCGTTCCCTAGATATTTGAGTCAAAATTGATTTTTTCGAAATGTTTCACCGTTTTATTGAGCTGACAATTCAAATGCTTTCCAAAACCAAAAAACATTTTTGGACAGGAAAAAGGCCAACATACCCCCTGCGTAAAAGAAATTTGGTACTTGGCCTTAAAATTAGTCAAATAGGCCTTTGGTACAATTTTCCATATTTGTTGTCAATTTACACTGGACACACTGGAGATCGACTCAAGCCTTAGATCGGGCTCTTTCTTTTTGCTGACTAGTGTGAATGGGGGCATGCGGGAGATGAAATTCGGGTTTTGCAAGGTAATTTTCGCATCAAGATTCGGCAATGTGTACCATTTTACTAAAAAATGGCAGGGGGAAGCGCACCTCGTGCCCCGCTGTAAGACCGCCAATGTTAAAAGCTGCTGTAGTCATTGGACTTTAAGCAATGAGTCAATGTATTTGTAACATAGCTAACCCTTCTAATTAGCTCAAGGTCCAATAACAACCCTGTGCCTGCTTTAGCATGATGAAAATGGTTAGATTTGGGGGAAAAAATTGAAAATTGGCTCTGAGCGCCCATTCTAACTTTGGTAGGTAGCCATCTAAAGTTGTTTTGTTTTATGGATATAATATCACTGCCACTTGAACGATTGCAGTAAATGAAACATTACCTACTATAACCCCACACCATGCGGCTCCCCAAATTTCATCCAAATCGGTGCAGTCGTTTCCGATATTACTTGAGCAACATGAGGCCAACACTCAGATAGACCAACAGACAGACCGATGAGATTAACAGGGCTCCTACAATCACGAGCACCATCTGCTGAGGTAACGGGGTGGTGAAAAGGAAACGATTGTGGGCTGGTCTTAGACGGTGGTCGGAAAGGATGACTGCGGGTGCCTACCCAGGTAAATTTTTATAATAACAGAGTCGGATTTCGATTAGCGATCTAACCTGTAAATCGTTTCCTAGTTTGGTACTCAGCTAGTGATCATTTAGTATTGTTCTACCCTTGTTACTGTTCGTCGATATTGTGTTGTTGAATTGTTGTGTTGTACTCTTGTTGGTGTGATTGTTCTTAAGTGAATTTTTATCAAGGTTATAATGGACAATAAAAGGTCATATGCGACAATTTTAACTACGAATTCAGTGAGTTTAATTCATGATGAGGACAACAATAGTGTGGAGCAGTTCAACTCTATAATCGCAAAATACATTGGGGTAAGCGAATAAATTATTGCAAGAAGAGGTCATACCATGGAAGATGTGCTGCAGCTGTAGTGAGCCACAATACCGAGCGGCCTGTCTATGTGGTCCAAATATATTTGCGTTCTAAGCTTAGTCCAACCTCGCTTATCACTAAGATGGAACAAAGACTCAAACGCACGAATCTTGGAAAGAAACTCAGTCTAAAAAAAATTGATATAAAAATAACTAACAGTTCGGATAGCAATTCCACAGAAAATATATAATAGTTTTATGGCAAATTCTGTCAAAAACCTGACATGAACGACATTGATTTGGAGGTTGCTAAGCAATAATTTTTAGGGAAAGTTAGAAAAAGTGACGACGAGATTTTGCATATCGAACAAGTCACCTAATCACAGGACTGTGCTTTGTGGCATCTTCATCGGAGGATAAGGTTGATAGCGTCTTATTTGGTGAAGTTTGTAGAAGAATGCTGTAAAGTTCTAGTAAACTCGATCATATACCCAACATAGTTTTCTAGTAAGGCTGGACTAAAACTACAAAGCTTTGGCATACTAGTAACCGCGTGTGGAAATTTCATAAAAATCCGAGCGGTAATTTCCAAGTTGATGATGAGTGATACAGTTTTTCATGATGTAGATGTCATATGACTTAAAAAAAGGCAATACAAAAACCATTGGACACGGCAGTTCAATCTTGTGGTTTGCAAAAACTACCTAACTGTTTCCTCTTATTTTGTCGGCATAAGATATTTTTATGACCCTCGTTCAATTTTTATCATCTACTACACGACTCTTGTAAACATAATTGTGTTTATTGACATGAATAAACGAATTAGAACTTGAGTTCTTGAATTTATTTTAGGAAAGATATACAATTATTTGAATACATTTTTTCTTAGTCGGAACGCACCGTCGCGTCGCTTGGACTGACAGGACGAATCAGTAGATGAATTTCTCCCAAAAACCGATTTGCACTTCACAGCTTACTTTTTATTATTTCCAAATGAAACTCTTGCTGCGTGCTAAAAACAAAGTCCACAGGGTGCCAGCGATCCACTTTTTCGATTTTATCCACTAGGATCTTTTTAAAATATCAACAAGTTGATCACAAATAGTGAGCATTTCAACCCACCATAATTCTTGCGCAAAGACAAAATTTTGTAAAAAGCTCTGATAGCACCCTAGGCAATTATGGCCTGCTTATATCCAGAAAAACATCACAAACTGCAGAACACAAAAGGTAACGGCTAAATGGGTACATTTCACGGGTTATGAAATTCAAATAAAAATGCAGGTATAAAATGTACCAAATGATCGTTCTCAAAAACATATTTCCTTGACATATCGATAATTTTACAGTTCCACGCTAGATTCCCCTATACTTGACTGGAGTGATATCCGAATTTATTCTTCCCTACTGTCGGTAGTTGCAGATCTGTTGGTTGTTGGTGTCAAACCTATAGAGCAGGTACCGATTTTTTGAAATCGTGAGCACATTATTCGTCGGATTTTCGATACTTAAATTTCCTGTAATCACTGCAACCAGAAGCTACTTAGTAATAGAACGTGTTTCACTGATTTCAACCCCCCCCCCCCCTTTTTAAGCAGTACAATTTTTTATGTCAATGATTAGGAACCCCTGAAACGTCAAAAACGGAGTTTCAGCAATTGTTACTTTTTCTGTTTTGCCTATAGCACCGTTGCCACTGGACTAAAACTACAAAGCTTTGGCATACTAGTAACCGCGTGTGGAAATTTCATAAAAATCGGAGCGGTAATTTCCAAGTTGATGATAAGTGATACAGTTTTTCGTGATGTAGATGTCATATGACTTAAAAAAACATAACATCTCATTTTAGAAATTTTTCGCGATTACAATACTTCCTCACCAATGACGTGGGAAGTAAAACGGCTTAAAAATCGAGGAGTATCAGCGATCGCGATTATGAGTACCTATTTGCAGAACGACTTATCTACGCGATATTATATGAAATAGGGCCACCAAATTATCTTTCTTAGTCCGTGCATTGCGGCGCAACGCTTGGTGTGGCAGCACGAAACAGTAGACAAAATTCATCCAAAATACGTTTTGTAGAGGTTTGCGCGCTTCAAAATTGACGCTTTATTTTTTGATATTTTTGGATGAAATTTTCACAGAGTGCTGAAAACAAACAAAACCCCACAGGTTTCTATAGAGCCACTTTTTTATTTTTTTCACTAATTGCGAAGTTGAACAGAAAAAGTGCGCACTTCAAGCCATCATAAAACTTGTGCAAAAACAAAATTTCAAAAAGTGCTCCTATAGCACCCTGGGCAATTATCTTCTCAACATACTGTATGAATGTCATTCAAAAATATTGAAAAATGGAGTGTCAGTTTTGAAGCAGCTGAACCCTTGTAAAGGGTTTGAAACTCACATAAAAGTATTGCTATTTGCAATTCTGAAAATTTTCGCGGCCACAGTACCTCCAATCCTTATGAGTTGGGAGCTAAAGGATAAAATAAGCATATATTTATTATTTGCCCTTTATATCTTGGGGCATTAATCATTGTCAAAATCAATACTGAGTCATTATTGAACAATTTATTCACATCATTCGGTGAAATAATTTTTGTTTCTTTTATGAATACTGTTCAACTGGAATTTTATCCTCCATTTGGGATTAGCCACAACTGGGTGATTCACCCCAAAAACTTTAATATGGGGTCCCTCAGGCGCAAACTAGACCAGTGTACGGGAGGTGCAGGCATGACGTGGGAATAGCCGCTCTCAGGCAGAAAAGCTCAACGGTATTGCCCTATTGACCTTTCCTGCCTGAAGTAGGAAATTCTCCAGCAATGCGGCATACTTACTTAAATTATTGCAGAATTTCCTGATAAGTGCCTGACAAAATTTTCAGCAGTGAGCGTCAATTGCAGCTGTCTCTGGTAGGGCTTTATTAAGTCAAGTAGCTTGATATTTTTAGTAACTACTTGATTTGAAAATAAAATTCTTGACTTGATTTTCCTATTTTTCTACTTTACTTGATGTCAAGTATTTTCAAACTACTTGATACTTGATGGTGAATTATATTTTTGTTCTACTAGAGGCCTTCAGTGATATTCACTTGTACAACCAATTAATCGTATTTTTTATTTTGATACAAATAATACCGGCTGGTGGAATAGACACGAACATGTACTCCCAAATCTAGTTTTAATGACAAGATATTTTTATCGTCACCTGCAATATTACCCCCGAAAGATGTTAAGCGATAAATCCGTTAAGACCCTCATGTGTCTCAGCTCGTGGTTAGTGGATAAAACCTTATTCAGCATATTTCATTGTTTTGTATCAGCTGATGTAATCTTTTTTTCCATCTGTGCTTGTAGTTTTTGTCGTTCTAACATTTGTTATACGATGTTATGTTCAATATGTATTTATTTTTCTGTAACTTATCACAGAGTCTTCGTTGTGTATAGTCTACTCGTGATTATAATACAAAAATTATCAGCTAATATCTACTTGAATTTGCAAGTATTTGACGTAAGAATTACTTGACTTTGACGCAGTTAGCGTACTCTCGGTTTTGTACCCTCTTCAGGGAGCATTCAAAACAACCATGTGCAGTGAAATAACGTGAAGTATAGTAGTCTATCCGCACTGCTCCCTTGTCAATCCAGGATTCAATATCTGGGATCCATCGTCCCCCTCTAAATCCGCCCAGTCTCCAAGCTTTTCTCAACTCCCGTCCCGGTTTTCCGATACTCGTTATTTAAGCGCTGCTTGGATTAAAAAATGCCGTAAAAAATGAAAGTATTCGTGTTTCAGGATCTAATGGGTGATTTTTTTGCTAGTATCTTTTTGGCAACACTGTTTTTGACAGGTGACGCGTGAATCGTGTCTTATGTCATTGTCAAACTTGTTCAGTTTGGTCTATAATTTAACCATGAATCGACTTACGAACGAACAACGCTTGCAAATGATTGAATTTTACTATCAAAATTCATGCTCGGTTAAGAGAGTGCATCGAGCACTGCTTCCAATTTATGGGCAATTTGGTCGGCCTACTGAGGGAGCTATTCAGAAGCTTGTGACTAAATTTCGAACCCAGTTTACATTATTGGGCATTAAACCACCAACACGCAGACGTAGAGTGAGGACTGAAGAAAATATTGCGGCTGTATCTGCCAGTGTTAGTGATGACCGTGAAATGTCGATTCGCCGCTGTTCGCAGCAATTGGGCCTCTGTTACTCCACTACGTGGACAATTTTGCGACAGGATTTGGGTGTAAAACCTTATAAGATACAGCTGGTGCGAGAATTGAAGCCACACGACCTCCCACAACGTTTCCAATTTGGTGAATAAGCGCTGGCAAAGTTGGAGGAAGATCCACATTTTTATCGAAAAATTGTGTTCAGCGACGAAGCTCATTTCTGGTTGAATGGGTACGTTAACAAGCAAAATTGCCGCATTTGGAGTGAAGACCAGCCAGAAGCATTGCAAGAGCTACCAATGCATCCCGAAAAAATCACTTTTTGGTGTGGATCATGGGCCGGTGGCATCATCGGGCCGTATTTCTTCAAAGACGACAATGGCCGGAACGTAACTGTGAATGGCGAGCGCTACCGTGCGATGATAACAAACTTTTTTTTGCCCAAAATGGAAGAGCTGGACTTGGCTGACATGTGGTTTCAACAAGACGGTGCCACATGCCACACCGCACACGAAACAGTGGCCCTATTGAGAGGCGAGTTCGGTGAACAGTTTATCTCACGTTTGGGGCCCGTCAATTGGCCGCCTAGATCATGTGATTTAACGCCGTTGGACTATTTCTTGTGGGACCATGTTAAGGCTAATGTCTACAGGGATAAACCAGCAACGATTGACGCACTGGAAGCCAATATTGAAGCGTTTATTCGTGAGATACCGGCCGATATGTTGGAGAGCGGGTGCCAAAATTGGACCTTGCGCATGGGCCATCTAAAGCGGAGCCGCGGCTAACATTTACATGAAATAATCTTTAAACATTATATCGACCGCTCTATCGACTCAAATAAAGATTTAATCGTTTTTTCAAATTTTTTGTGTTTTTTTTGAAAATCAAATCCTATACCTCTTAAAAAATCACCCGTTACTTGTTCAGAATTATAGGAACTCTGAATTAAGATTCCTAGATTCAGTACAATCACATTCTTGAATATCTTATCTTAGCAGAACTATAATAAATTACAATATATTTTTCCTAGAATTATATGTTTTTAAAAAAACTAACTCATTGAACAGAAATGCATTAATCAATGCGCAAGTATGTGAAGTGCACCTGATTCAAATACATATCGTACAATGAAATATTAACAATTATTCACTTGAATACGTTACTATTTAATATCAGATCAAATTCTATAATGTTCATGCAATATCCATCGAAAAATCGTATGTATTTAACTGGTAACATCACAGTTACTGCCAGAAAACGTATATTTTTTAATTTTTTGTTGAAATGGTAATAAAATAACAATATTGGTAGAAGTTATTAAGCATGCATTTAAGTAACAAAACAAATTAACACAAAAATATTTAAAACAACGGCAATTCAACCATGTTTCAAAACACATGCAGTATAACTCGAACAATGTTCTTTTCAATCGAATTTAATTGTTATTAATTAAAAAAATCAAATACTCGCCAAATACTTGAAAATCAATATTTGTATAATTCTCTGTATATTTATTTAGCTATAGACATGTAATATGTACGTTAGCTTATCATCGGATTAAGTAACACGGCACCGCTTCCGTTTTATCACGAAAATTGATAAAAAAGACGCTATCCTTACGTTGGTTGAACTTGGAATTTATTTGAATTTGAGGTTTTATTGTCTCTCAATCGTTTCCTGATTGAGATTTGCAATGGCAGTTGTAGAATTAAGTTCATAAAATTGTTGAGTTTTGGCATTTTGTCTATAGACAATAGACAATATATTGCGCAGAAGCTGTTTAGTACATTTGATTACTGAAACGGCAATATTGTACGGAAGTATTTCCTAATTTTATGAACAGTTCACACGTCCATCATTTCGTAATAAAACGTTTTTTAATATTCTTGACACCAGAAAAATTTAAAATGAAGCCGATTGTTAAGGTTTCATTAGCTGGACTAATTTCCCAATGATAACTTCTCCTCTACTTTTTGGCAACGTATTTTGTGAAGCTGATTGAGAAATAACAAAATATAGTATTTTTTTAATTGGATATACCACACTCCCCCCCACCCTATCAGCCCCTTGCGTTTGATCTATGACTTTTGAGATACCCTGTACACGTCTGAATAGTGAGATAAAATCTCAGAATTATAATGATGTATTTATACATTCATTAGTCTGGGTCGTGTATTTGCAATCGCTCAAGTGAAAAATATTTCTTTTGTAGCCTTTTTGATCAAATAAAACTCCATGGCTTATTACAAATAAAAATAAATTTTATTAGAAGTACGTTCTTAACAGCCATTAGAGAGTTACTTATTTGGTATCACATCATAATTATTAAAATGTAGAAAAATAACAAAGTTAGATAACGATCATTTATTCGGAAGATAGACTTCTGTATCTTTTAAGTGATGATATAGCATATCATCCGATGGTCCCAGTCCAATGAAGATCCATGCAGTGAATGCTAAGGTCGCCCTCCAAAGGGATAGATTGTTCCAAATCTCTAAGTCGCTCTTTTTGAGCATTGAGACTGTTGTTTCCTGAAAGCAAAGCGTCCACTTCAAAATACTTGTATATTTCCATATATTGTTATTAGCAAGGCGATTAAAAAACCCCTAATATCGAGTGAAAAGATTCACATTGCGTAAGAAGTTGAAATCATACAGAAAATGGGTCTAACATTTGAATGACTTGACCGATTTTCATTAGTAGACCAATTTAGTAATCTACAAATCGTCCCTTTCATCTGATTCCCCATTTAAGCATAGTCGCTACTTTTGGCTGTTCACCCCACGCTCTCCCCCATAACTTTTAAACAGTTGGATCTATTTTTATCAAATACAGCTAAAACCATCTCGATAGACAAGACTATCGATTTAAAAAAGCAGGATTAAGATCCGTTGAGGAGCTACACACCTACATAGATATATATGTTAAACTCATAACCCCATCACTTTTTGCATCGAGAATTAAAAAATTCAGGAAAACATAATTGGGAGTACAATACGAGGGATGTCTTTTAAGTTTTGCGTATGGAAATAAAACAACACGGTAGGTAGTTTTAAAAGACTTTATTGTTTTTCGAACCAATTTCCGAAGCACTTATTCCACTCGTTTGCGGGCAGATCCAAAACGGCATTTTTGAATGCGTGTACTGCTTCTTCTGGTGACTGGAACCTTTGACCACGCAGTCTGTTTTTAATTTTCGGGAAAGTAAAGAAATCGTTAGGACTTAGATCGGGACTATATGGAGGATGGTCCAATAATTACACGTTTTCTTCAGTTGAATGAATCTTGAAATTAGAGGCATTCCGGCCACCATAAGGAGCCAGTGCATAGGCCGCTTAAGCGGGCCTTTATGCACCTCTACAATCCTTGAGTCCAAGCTCCTTGTATAGTCTGCCTATTGTAGCTCAGAGCTTCAAAGCGGCACAAAACGTGCGCCGAGGTCTCTTCCTCTACCCCGCAGCGTTCACACAAGGGATCCTCAGCCACCCCCATTACGTGCAGGTGACGCCTTAACGTGTTATGGCCAGACAACAGTTCCACCAGCAACCTTAGGCTGGCTCTATCTAGAGATATGCAGAAGCGTCCATCCTTAGCACTGGGCCCTTCAATGAGTTACCGTGCCTGGCGGAGATGTCTGGAGATACATCTCCATTTTTGAGAGTGTTGTCTTGCAACTCACGTCTCCATTTTCCTCCTAGCTTTATGCGCGGTCACTCCTAGAGCTAGCTCAGGACCAACGAGCTTGCTGCCTGATCCTGTCTTCGCCAGAGTGTCCGCCGTCTCATTGCCCCTTATCCCAGCGTGCCCCGGTACCCATATTAACGATACCGGATGCCTCGCTGCGAGGCAATCCAGAGCCTCCCTGCATTGCAGTACAAGACTCGAAGTAATCTTACAGGCACTTAGTCCTTTCATTGCAGCCTGGCTGTCGGAAAAGATTGTTATTCTTCTCCTAGGCCCACCCTCCTCCAGAATATGAGATACACAAGCCAGAATCGCAAAGGTTTCCTCCTGGAAAATAGTGGTGTATCCACCGTCAGGCAGAGATAGCCTAGTTCTAGGCCCAGAGAGCCCAGCACCTGAGCCCTCTTCGGTGACCGAACCGTCCGTGTACCAGACCAGCCCGCTCACTCCGGAGAGTCCCCGGCTAACGGCGTCCCACTGCTCCCTCGTTGGATAATCCACAATAAACTTGCGGTTGAAGCGATATTTAGGGGTGATACGATCACCCCTGCTTAGAAGGACGGGGACCTCCCTTTGCAATTCGACTAAGACGGCAGTATGCCCCTTGGCAGGATTCAAGAAAGCCCAGCAACAGGGCTTCCATTGCACTCAATGGCGTTGTTCGTACTGCGCTTGTAATACTAATACAGGCCAAACGCTGAATTTTATTGAGTTTGGCCTTAGTTTTCTCAGTTCTAATGCAAGGCGACCAGACCAGGGAGCCGTACAAGAGAGATGGACGTACTATCGTCGTGTAGAGCCAGTATACCAATTTGGGTATAAGTCCCCACCTTACACCGACAACACGTCTACAGGCCCACATCGAATTGCGAGCCTTGCTAACCTTGTAATCAACATGCTCTCTCCAGTTCAGTTTGCAATCCAGGATAATTCCCACATATTTCACTGACTGGGACAAAATTAATCTAGTCCCAAAGAAGGTCGGCATGACCAGCCCATCAAGCCTTCTTTTCCTAGTAAATAGGATCAGCTCGGTTTTTTCAGCATTAACAGAAAGAGCGACTTCCCTACACCACGATTCCACAGAGTGCAGAGCGCCCTGCATAATTTCCAAGACTGTTCTACAAAAACGCCCCCTAACTACTATGTTTACGTCATCAGCATAGGCTTGCACATAGACACACATACTGCTGAGCCTAACGAGGTGTTCGTTCACCACGATACACCACAGTAGGGGTGATAGAACTCCGCCCTGAGGATAGCCTCTAGCTACGCTCACGCTGCAGCTTACGTCATTCAGCATAGCCGTTGCTACCCGACCCTCCGTTAAATACTGCCTTTTTTTTTGGGCTGTGTGCGAGCTTGCATTGTCTTGGTGGAGGATGATTCTTCTTTCGGGGTTGATTTTTCGAAGCTCGGTGATGACTTTTGGCAAACAAATGGTGGTATATAACAAACCGCAGTAACAGTTCTTTACTCACTAAGAGGAATTGTTGCAATATGACCCGCTTTTGACACAAATGTCGCGACCATCTTTTTCGAAACACTTCGAGAACGGATGACTTTTGTTGGCTTTTCTTCACCTTGGAACACCCAAAAAGCCGACTGTCGTTTATTTTCTGGTTCATAACAATGAACCCACGATTCATCACCACTTACAATGCTGTACACATTTTTTGACTTTCCGGAATTGAAACGGTCAAGCGTTTTTTGACACCAATTAACCCTGGCTACTTTCTGTTCTTCAGTCAACAGGTGGGGTATCCAATCTTTGAGATCTTTAAGGACGCCTTAATCTCGCTATATGTCACATGTCTATCTTCAATGATGAGTTTGCGCACAGCATCGACGTTTTCCTGGGTGACTGCCGTTTCTGCTGCACCCACCCTGGGATCGCCGCTAAGACTCACCCGTCCACGTTGAATTCTCCATACCAACGGGAAATTGTCGACTAATGTGGCACTTCGATGCCGAAAACAGACAGTAACTCAGCAAGGCATTCATGTTGCGATAATTGACTCTGAAGGTTGTAACAAATTGTGGCGCGAAAATGTTCTCGGTGGAGTTCCATTTTTCTAATGACTTGGTGACACTTAAAAATTCACTGTAGTGAGAACACTGCACGTATTGTTGTAAAACTTTGAATTTAAGTTTACTAAAGAGTGAGGTTAAGATTCAGTACTGACGTTCGCGGCCTACTATGTTTCTATATGAAAAACTTAAAAGACATCCCTCGTATTTCAAATTTCGTTTTAGCATACAGTTGGGTATGTTCTTGGAGAACATGTTTATCAATGATCTTACGGAACATTCCCCGAAATGTATCTCAATATTCATGAGTTATTATGGAGAAGTGTTTCGATTTCTAAAACTTCGACCGACATTTACATACAGGGTTCATTTTAAAACTTCCGAGACACGTCAAAAGATTTGTCAAGGGGGACAACTTTTTAACCAAATACTACTTCACCCCTTTCACCCTCTGCCCCCAAGGTCACCCCTTATAAATTTTAAATGCCGAGGGGTATTGAGTAATAGCTTGATTGAAAGGTCTTTCGGAGTCCTTTATTTTGACGTTTGATTTTTTCAAATCGGTCGATTCGTTCTCAAGAAAATTAGAAAAATCTGTATTTATCTTAATTTGTTCAGATTGAAAACAATAGCCACACGAAAATATTACTTCTAATAAGTATTCAAAATGTTGCCCGTTATTGGCCAAACAATGATATACAGGGTGGCCAAACACGTGACGTCATAAAAAAAAATTAGATTCCCCACATCGAGAGGAACCCAAATCACCCCCATATACGTATATATGGTCCGATTTTGTTTAGTTTAGGAGTTATGATTTTTTTTCGGATTTTTCGAGAATTTTTGAGTTCTGTGTTTATTTTTACGATAACTTCGTTAATAATTGTGATAAATGCCTGCTTTTTTCACGATTATGTAGCTAAGACCTAAGGCTTAATTATCATATAATCATTCAAGTCATGTAACTAATACTACTTTTAAATTTTTTTCAAAATCTTCGAACATAACAAAAAAGTAAAAAAGTGCAACAACTTTGAACGTTTATAAAAAATTGAAAAAACATGTTCTTACTATTCGTAAGTATCTTAAAAACTTCCTTACGGTATCAGCTATTTACCGTAAAAATTTCATCAACCTAGCTTTACTACATGCTACCGTAATTGTGGCTCAAATAGAACCGAACCCAAAATTGGATAACCCTCTGCTCAATAGAAATTGTTAGTTTCGGAAAAAAAATTTGCAAAAACCACAAAAACACGTTTGATTTTTACTGAACAGCAGATTATTATTCATTTATGTTATTTACAAGAGGTTTTCAAAATGTCTGCCTCTAACAGAAATGCACAGTGTACACCTACGTATGAAATTTTGTTTTAAATCTCTAAATGCTTGTGTGTTGTTTTTCAACACATGTGTCGCTTCTTGAATTTTGTTCCTCAATGAATTTTCATTTGCACATTCTTGGGCGAACGTTATGTCTTTAAAATATCCCCAAACAAAAAAATCAATGGGGTTGAGGTCAGGGGAGCGTGGAGGCCATCGTATCGGTCCGTTTCGTCCGATCCATCTGTCTGGGAACCTTTCGTTTAAGTAGTTTCGCACGATCGTTGCGTTGTGGCATGGTGCACCATCATTCTGGAACACCATGTTCCGTCTGGCTTCCAGGCTTGAATCTTCCAGCAATAATGGTAGGCTATTTTCAAGGAAGCTTTTGTAGGCTACCGAATCCAACCTTGACGGCAGTTCAAATGGACCGATAAATTCCATATTGAATATTCCTGACCACATGTTCACACTAAAACGGTGTTGAAATGTCGACGGCCTTGACTGGTGGGGGTTTTCAACAGCCCAAGTATGTAAATTATGGATATTGAATATCCCTGTTCTTTCAAAACGTGACTCGTCAGTCCATAAAATTTTATCAAAAAAATCGGGATCCTCTCGTTGTCTTCGCAGCATTGTCTCGCAGAAATCCACTCTTAACTGGTAATCTGAAGGCATCAACGCTTGAACTCTTTGAACATGATAGGCATGATAACCTTCTTCATGAAGAATATTTTGTATCGATGTTCGTGGTATTCTAAGGTTTTGTGCCATAGATCTCGTACTCGTTGAGGGATTCCGGCTAATTTCTTCAAGTACTACTTCTCTGCGATCCGGATCAGCTGTAGGATATCCTTCATTGCTTCCTCGTCCTGGAATGTTACTTAAACGAAAGGTTCCCAGACAGATGGATCGGACGAAACGGACCGATACGATGGCCTCCACGCTCCCCTGACCTCAACCCCATTGATTTTTTTGTTTGGGGATATTTTAAAGACATAACATTCGCCCAAGAATGTGCAAATGAAAATTCATTGAGGAACAAAATTCAAGAAGCGACACATGTGTTGAAAAACAACACACAAGCATTTAGAGATTTAAAACAAAATTTCATACGTAGGTGTACACTGTGCATTTCTGTTAGAGGCAGACATTTTGAAAACCTCTTGTAAATAACATAAATGAATAATAATCTGCTGTTCAGTAAAAATCAAACGTGTTTTTGTGGTTGTTGCAAATTTTTTTTCCGAAACTAACAATTTCTATTGAGCAGAGGGTTATCCAATTTTGGGTTCGGTTCTATTTGAGCCACAATTACGGTAGCACGTAGTAAAGCTAGGTTGATGAAATTTTTACGGTAAATAGCTGATACCGTAAGGAAGTTTTTAAGATACTTACGAATAGTAAGAACATGTTTTTTCAATTTTTTATAAACGTTCAAAGTTGTTGCACTTTTTTACTTTTTTGTTATGTTCGAAGATTTTGAAAAAAATTAAAAAGTAGTATTAGTTACATGACTTGAATGATTATATGATAGTTAAGCCTTAGGTCTTAGCTACATAATCGTGAAAAAAGCAGGCATTTATCACAATTATTAACGAAGTTATGGTAAAAATAAACACAGAACTCAAAAATTCTCGAAAAATCCGAAAAAAAATCATAACTCCTAAACTAAACAAAATCGGACCATATATATGGGGGTGATTTGGGTTCCTCTCGATGTGAGGAATCTAATTTTTTTTTTATGACGTCACGTGTTTGGCGTATATGTATGTTCAAATTCCTGACGGACTTTTTCAAAAACATGTTGTGGGATATCATGGCATCTTTCGATGGTGCGTTGACGAAGTTCATCCTAACTTTCAGATCGGGGAGTAAAAGTCTAATGGCATCAAATCAGGAGATCTAGCAATCCATTCCATAGGCCCTCTTCGCCCGATCCATTTATCTGGAAACTCGTCGTCTAGCTATTGCCTAACCAGAAGAACATAGTGAAGAGGAGCGCCGTCCTGCTGGAAATATATTTCAGCCTCATCAAGTATAGGGTTTCCATCCTCTTCGATTTTGTTTTTAATGGTTTCAGTGATAAGCGGACTGATGGTATTTTCCAACATCTAAATAAATGTCTCCATTCAAATTTCCATTAATAAACAATGGCCCAATCGCTTTGTCCTGCCCTTCTAGAAAAAGTATGAGGATTTTCATTGCTCCAATACCTGCAGTTATGCTTATTAATAAACCCATTTAGATAAAATGTGCATTCATCACGGAAGCAGATATTCTTTACATGAATGGTATTATCAATAATCGCTGCAGTCATTTGTTCTCAAAACTCAACTCGCCTATCGAAATCATCTTCGGTTAACTCTTCAAATATTTTCATTTCAAATGGATGAAATTTATGGAGTTTAGTAACTGTGTGTACCGAACCTAATGAAACACCAGTCGCAGCAACAAATTTGCGCGATAAAGTATTAGGATTTATTACAAAATGACCCAAAACTTCAAGTTGAGCGGCTTCATCCAAAACTCTCCGATGGTCACGTACGTTTTTTATTTGCAACAGATCCAGTTTGAGTAAATTTAGTAACAAGGTCCAAAACATACCTATGCGAAGTTATCTTCGCCCGGCGTTAAACGTGATGGCAGTTTGCCGAGCACATTGATATTGGGCACCATAAATTATAATCATTTCCACTCTTCCATTTTGGAAGTAAAATCTGTATCAATAAATTAATTTTCACTATCTCAAGATTGTCACAAAGGTAACTGACAGCAAATTAAAGTCTTTCTTTCCCCTAGCAACAAATAACTAAACAGGTATAACAATAAATACATTTCGCCCAGGATATCTGTGTTGATGAAAATAATGCGGAAAAAAATTCGGGTTGTTATTTGGTTGTTGCCACGTCTAATCTTCCGAATTGCTGTTTATCTTGGTAGTTGCCGTTTTAAAGTATAAACGAGTTGTAAATTTGGCAAACCCTAACGGGTAACATTTTGAACACTTATTGAAATAATAAGTGATATTTTCGTGTGTTTTTGCTTTGTATCTGAACAAATTAAGATGAATAAAGATTTTTCTAATTTTCTCGAAAACGAATCTAGTGATCTTAAAAAATCAAACGTCAAAATAAAGGACTCCGAAAGACCTTTGAAACAAGCTATTACTCGACTCCTTGTCATTTAACATTTTTAAGGGACTGACCCTGGGGGGCCGAGGGTGAAAGGGGGTGAGGTAGTTTTTGATTAAAACGTTGTCTCCCTTCACAAACATTCTGACGTGTCTCTGCGCTTTTTCATTTGATTTTCGATAAGTCCGTGGTGGAAAGTTTTGAAATATGTAAAACGGGCGCCCCATTCAACCTATGTCCGTGACTCAATCCTGCTATGCTAGTTCCCATTAAAAAATAAGTAAGTAAATGTACAGGAATGAACGTTCCTGCTTTTAAAAATGTATTTTCAAAAATTGTACTCACGTTTGATATGTTAGTGTGTTTGTCGTATGCCAACATTGCCAACTTATCGTCGTAATTCGTCATCGATAGGTGGATTAAGAAGCACGTCAGATAGAGAACTATCACAATAGAGCTGCGGCGTTGTTTCCACAATTCTGTGACGTAGTCTTTGTTCAGTCGAACGATATCTATCCTGATGAACAAAATTTATAGATAAATCATATGGAAACAAAGCAACCAAACATGGAAAACCATTTTGATTAAGGGATATAAAAAGAAAACTAGATAGGGACGAAAAAGGTTTAATTTTACTACTAATCAGTCATAGATATTTAAGTAGTAATTAGCAGAATTTCTTAAATATATCAATTATCAAAATGTAAAAACCATTTTATTAAAATAAATTTTGTGTTTTCAAAGTTGAGTCATTTATTTTAACAGCCAGTAGAAAGAAGTTGATATATCAAAAAACACCTATATAAAAGTTGCATAATAAGAGAGTTAGTTTACATTATTAAAAACTATTTAAAAAAATCATTATCAAATTAAATGTATGTGCAAATACTTTTCAAAATTGTCCACATTCGTTCGGTTAACCCAAAATCTTGCTTGGCGATTTCACGACTCTTTTCAAGCTTCGAAAATAAAATCCTGGTGTCGGATTAAATCACAAGCATTTTCAGTGCGCTGTTGAAGTTCTTCCATAGTATTTACTGCTCCATCATGATACACCAACTCTTTCAAATCGTCCCACAGAAATAAAATCGCAAGGCGTTAAATCCGGGGAGCGAGAAGGCCATGCTTTTCCATATTTGGTTTCTTTCCTCTATATTTTTAAACATAAAAAAACATCTCTATATTGGGATAACACTCAGTTTTCATGCACCAAATGGAAGTTGAACTTTAGTTTACTAACGAGATGAGTTTATACCGTTACGACTGCGGAATGGTTGCCTCTTCGTGCTTGGAATCATGGCGTTTTCAAATAGAAAACTATGATAAACTTGCAGTCCGAATGATTTATATCGAGGTTTGTTAAAAAAACGATGTTAAACTATAGTCTGGTATCAAAATGGAAGAAAGTAACATAACACATCGTATATCACTGCTAACGCAGTATGTCGTGGAATACGGTGGGATCTGCGCGCACCGATTTTGCCGATACAAAGGCACGCCGCATTAACAGTGATGTACATGCTGCCTTCCCCCGTTTTGGTACCCGAACGATACGTGCTGTAGTACTTACCTATCATACATAGATACCAAACATAAAACACATAGTGCGAAGAATAATCCCACGTATGTGTCACTGTAGTAAGCGTAATGAACGAGAAACTCGTAGTCTTGCTGATGAACATTACAGAAAAGGTACAACCAGTGTCCTAAAGCTAGGCCGCCCAAAAGGCCATGACATAACGTTGAAAAACGCATCCAGTACCTCTGGAATGGCAGAGCAATTTCTACAGGGTACGTTGACGATCTGAAAAACGTTTAAGCGACTGCACTGTATTTTGTTCTCATTATCAACAAGTATAGAAAAGATAACTGTTGGAACGGTTTGATAGCCTTCCACGCATGATTTTCCAGATGCCAGCCAAATTCAAATGAAAAAATATTTGTAAAGGTGAGATTGGAATGAATGAAGAGTGAAAAGAGAGGACGTCGATAAGTTGTAGAGTAAAATGCCCAGGCACGACTTGGCGGTGTTTCAAATTTAATTCTGGTGGAGGTTCTATTAAAAATATAATTTTGGTTGCAACAAAAGTTTACCGTTTGATTGTGATCACAGTACAAGGTACGGCCTGGTATATTCGCAGACTTTGTTGATTGATTCTCGTAATAAAGGAGGAGTCCGTTTTACGTAATCTCATAGATATTGAAAATCCATAAAGTTTGATACCATATGAGGCTTATACAGTATGTTAGTACTGCTACTACTACAGGGTGGCCAATATATACATAACTGACTGATTTAAATTGAGCGTCAGTTTTTGATACACCCATATCAGTAGGTGACGTGTCCGTTTTGTTAAAACGTTTTACTTAATTAATGAGTCGATTTTTGCAACGATTCGGAAACTACGACAAGATTTCGGTCGGAATAATGTGCCCAGTGTCAACATAAGTTGGTGCGTAAATTTCAACAAACAGGTGAAGTTAAAGACTTCGGGCCGTGTTCGAACTGTTCGTACTCCGGAAAATATCGAGATAGTTCGTGAAAGTGTAGAGGAGCGCCCTGATACGTCTACCGGACATCGTTCTCAAGAACTGGGTATTCGTCGCACGTCATTATGCACTATTTTAAAACAAGACTTGTATTTGCGGCCAGACAAAATTCAGTTAACCCAAGAACTACAGCCTAGTGACCATAAAAGTCGCCAACAATACAGTCATGCAATATTGCAGCTTAATACCCAAAATAACGATTTTTACCGACAACTGATAATGAGCGATGAAACCCACTTCGATATGAACGGATTTGTTAATGAGCAGAATTGACGTATCTGGGCATTAGAGAATCCTCGTGTCGTCCATCAACGACCACTACATCCTCGTCGAATCACAGTTTGGTGCGGCGTTTGGTATGGAGGTGTCCTTGGACCTCACTTCTTTGAAGACGCTGCAGGTAATTCTCTTACTGTCACTGGCGAGCGCTACCTTGATATGGTGCAAAACTTTATGGCTCCTCAAATCCAACAATTTAACCTGCAAAACATGTGGTTTATGCCAACAAACAAAATACTGCAGAGCAGCTGAAGAACAATATTACGGAAAATATTCCTCATGAAACCTACCAAAAAGTGATGGAAACTGTAATCAAAAGAGGGCTCATGTTAGCGCCGACTCTAGAGGCGGACATTTGTCTGGTATTATTTTTCATACTTAATTTCTTAAATTCAATAAAAGATTAAGATAAAAAAAATGGACGTATTTTATTTCATTTCACAAATATTCAAGATACAAACAAGTCAGTTACATATCGGCCACCCTGTACTAGTAAACCATTCAAGCTTTTGCGTTCGAGGAAAATTATGTTCTTTTTAAGGTTTATGAAATAAGTAAGTAAATCGGCTAACTGAACCATGTATGGAGCTGAAGCTCCATAGGGAAATTGCAACCTGAGTAAACCAATCTTAAACGCAGCTGCCCACGTGAATTTGTTAACAAAGGACACCAATAATTTTGGCATAAACTATCTGTTAGTTATATTTTCAGGTACTACTATGTTTTATATAACGAAGATCAATAAAAGGGAAATTGAAATTATTACCACCATGTCAAGTGGAATACCACACTGACAGTAAAAAGCATAGTTGAGAAATACTCATACGTTAGCGAGACAATTTTCGAGGTGGTGAGACGTAACTCAAAAGCAAAAATCAAAATCAATTTATGAGTGTTTCTGTAGTATGGCTAACCCAGGTCAGGAACGTACATTCAAATACATCACAAAAACATATTGAAATTTAAAATAGTCTTGTTAAAATATTCATCCCGAGAGTATAGTGGATTTTTTGTAAATACTGTTTTAATATGTTTTTGTAAATTTTTCGTAGGGAAGATCTTTAACCGGTAAAATACTCATCCAGCAAGTATAGTGGATTTTTTGAAAATACAGCTTTAATAAGCTTTTTAAAACTCTCGTAGAGAAGAGCTTTTACCACTGGTGGTAAACAATTATAAAATTTTACACTCCAGTATCATACAGATGAATTTGCTGATGTGTTTCAGACCCTGACAGATTGAGTTTAACATACAGCAAATTCTCCAGGATGTATATTCAAGAGAATCTTAAAACACTCAACCGCTTGAAAGCTTCCCTGCAGTCGTCTCTGTAACAATTGCCAGAAATTACTCGAATGGCTTTCCTCCGGAGCCCAAACAGACGGCTTGCCGTCGTAGTCTGTCCCCACACCAACACAGCACAAGTTATTTGGGAATGGGATACCGCAAAATAAGCTGCTCTAAGTGCACTTTTCAAAACACAGTTTTTCAAGTTTTGTAACAAAAAAAACATTTGCATCTAACTTTTTTGCAGATATGTCAATGTGGACATCCTATTTTAATCCAGCATCAAGTTGTACTCCAAAAAACTTGGTCGTGTCGTACCGACACTGTTGGATGGAAACTAAAGAACATATGTCTGTGCACAGAGGCAGGCGATGCTGGTAGCGCTGGTAGTTTTATTACCTATTACCTGCCAAAAACCGTGACATACATGACATACCTTTTTCCAAACCTGTCGTCTTCGACGTCTCCACTCTTACTATTATAGAGATTAGGCTTTGTTATCACTTCAAATTTGTTTTTCTTTTGTACGAAGAGTCTGTCAGTCTTTCTAGGACTTCTACGGACTCTGTCTGCCTTTGTGCTCAACTCTTGCTCATGGTCGTGCTCAAAAACGTCATCCTGTAACTCTTCAAGGGCTACAGCTACGTCGTTCTTCAGCTCATCTTCTTCCTTTCGTTTGTGCTTACCTACCAAACAAAAGAATACGCTGGTTGATCATTATGACCTCTTTGCAGATGCCTATTTTATGAATGTTGACAATAAAAAAAGTTGTATTAGCTAACAAAATATCAGGTTTTTATGGCAATTATGTGTTTTTTGGTTCATGGACGGAGCATTTTTTTAATAGAAATGGATTCTTTTGAGCAGAAAGCCGGAAATAAAGTATCTGCAAAAAGGGTATGGCGCCCACTGAAATTTATGAAAACATCTTGGTGACTGTTAGAGGATTCGCAGCTTCTGATGGTATCGATATTTGAAGTTCGGAATTACGTATTATGAAAACCAACATGGCTGTAGTCGGCCTGTAATGGTAAATGCCGGCCAAAACGTTAACAAAGTGATGTGGAGATATGACAAGGATCTGTTATACAAAATCTCAAGTGGCGAGATAAAAGAAACGTCGGTGGAAGTTAAAAATTGACGTAGTGTTCCATCGGGGTAATGTTCTCAGCCATACCTTCTGAATTGCTATGGCTGCCACCACATCTTCTACCACAGCGTGGTGTTAACGCACGGAATAGCACAGTTATGTTATGTGGTTTGCTATCCACGGTGTAACCATGGCCAATGATTTAAATATTGCCAACATTGAAGAAACATTTCCAAAGAAGATATTGCAAGTATTACCTATCGTAGAGGAGTGGCTTTCAGCAATTATTCAACATTTTTGCCAGGGCACTGTTGAAATCGTAGATCACCGATTGAAGTGGTGTGGTTATAATGTAAAATATTAAAAAATCGAATGTAGGGGCATAAGAATCAAACTTCGTATTTTAGAATAATATTGCACAACCTAAAAAATTATCAACATTAAGGCGATTGGTTGCTGACGACGGACAAATCATATTTAACGCTTGTGAAACAGAAAAATCAGAATAAAATGTTTTTCTCGGAATACGACTTATTTCCTATAATGAAACCAATTTAGTGATACTAAGGCTTAGCTCTGTGAGGTTGATGCTGTCCAGATCAGGAGCGCCCTAGATGTGACTTGCAAGCGAGCTACTGATATAGTAAACCATCTCCAGTGATAAGATGTTCCTATATTTAATATTGCAACCACATGCCTGATATAGACAACACACAACGTAACATCCATGGCACGGGAATAAACATCCGAGGCGGAGATTTGAACCCTCGAGAACCGGGTTGCTAGCTCGACGTGCTACCCACCGAGCTATCGAGACTCCCTACGATTGCACAAAATAGGTATATATACCCTATTCGTAATCCATTTCCATCAACAAAGATTCAGCGCGACAAAGCGGCACCCGCCTAAGCGGGTGATTCGGCCATAAAAATACGATCAAGTCTAGGATTCGACAGGATAGAACTCAGGCTCGGGGTATCGCCAGCACGCCGACACCGGCAGTTGGATGCAGTTCATAACTTTGATCGGAATGCCATTAGACGCAAAGTCCGTCAATTTTTTGAAAGGCAGGAACTTCCCACCAAAGACAAAGTTTTACAAGAGGTTAAACTTACCTGCATTCAAAAGGACCACATTCTATAGTTTACTCAAAGAACTTCATTTTGAGTATAGAAAATGAGGCAGAAATACTATATTGATGGACAGTCAAGAGATTATTTTATCGAGAAGAAATTATTTAATATTAATAATAAAGAAATACGGCGACCAGGGCAGGAGGATTTATTACTTGGTTGAAACCAGAATAAATGCAGGACATACAAAACCTAAAGTATGGGCTGACTCCACAAATAAACAAGCAAGACAAGCCTTCTAGACTAGAAAACTAGAAAAAAATCCCACAATGTCCACAAGAAAGGAAGAAATTCAACAATGGCTCCTATCAAAAAACATGAAAATATGGTCAAAGCAGAACTTATCCGTCTAGTCAGACGGCACAAATATTATTTAAGGCTATCCCTTAAGTCCCATTTAAATGATTTGGGCAAATATGAAAAGAACTACGTGGCATCAAACAATATAACATTCAAATTTTCTGTCGTGAAAAATTTGTTTCATGAAGCTATCAACAGAGTGACAGCAAACCATTGGAAAGATTGCATCCATCACGTTCAAGACACAAAGATGTGGGATCTGCACAATATGATCGATATTCAAATTGAACCTGTAATAATTTATATTCAACATTCGGACGATGATTCAAGTACAAGTACTTCCAGAGAATAAAGAATTGTGAAAATTATGTGCGCTTCTTTATATAAAAATAATGATTTATCTTGTTTGATTATTCCAAAACCATTGAGGAAAATGCGGACTTGAACAATCTCGCTTTTGGGTATGCTGTGTTTTGTCTGGGCGTAAATGAACTACGAATGGAGTATCGAAAAGATTCCGGCTTCTGCTCCTCATTTGTCCCCGAAGTATTTTGTATACCAGACTATTCGAGATGTTACTAGCCGTCTGCCTGATCAGTTTTTTGTCTAGTCTGGAATTTCCTCTTGGAGGAACATGTACTCACACTTATATGTGAACACAGTACGATTTTCAAAGTAACTCAATATATTTCTGTATTTGCCCAATTACTTACGTTTTGTATTGTTTGATGCAGCTGGCGAAGTTTCCCGTTTTTTCTTTTTGCTTTTCTTCTTCTCTTTCGGAATCATCATTTCTCTACTGTCACCCATCCCCAGTTCAGAGTCAGCATGTCGTTTTTTCCGCGATTTTGATTTCTTCAATGATGACGTCATGATATCTTCACCATCACGAGCCATGTAAGAGTCTTGTAGAGTATTGTAAGCATTCATTTCGTCGGGGTCCATAGGGATATAGTTTTTCTTTTTGTAGTGTTTTCTTTCTTCGGGACTAAGAAGTTCCAAATTCCCTTAAAGAGAAATTTATCATCTGATCCTTTTTACAAGAATATAAATTTTATTTGTTCCCTATGACGTCCTCTAACAAGGGGTTATCAATGGGATTCGTTACTCAGTGTTTTAAAATCATGAAAAGAACTTGCCTAAAATGTAAATGGTCTAATATGCATCTTTGGATTATTATTACATATTTTCTTTATGATTACTATCTGAATTTGTGTACAGAAGTATAACAAGTTATTAGTTGACAATTTCAAAAAACCAGGTACGTTATTTCCAGAGCTTGCATAAGATATAATGAAGCTCAACTAACAGAAACCACATAAAATTATATGCAGAATGGAATGAATGAACCCAGAACACATTCATACATGAACTAAACCTTATTAAACAAAATACTGTTCAGGCATGTGTTGGGAAGCCAGTATTTTTTAGAGGAAATACGTATTACGGTCCTGGCAATACGTCCTCGTAAGTATTTCTTTGTTGCTGTTTCTGGACATTCAGACGTTCAGACTGTTTACCAGTGAGCAATCTGATAGTTATATTTTGCAAATGTTCATAGTACCTGATAATTCTTCAGGTATTTTCTCGTCCTCATAGAAGCTCAAACTCTGCGGCCTGGAATCTGTGAAGTGCGAATGCTTGTTGATGTCCCTTTTCATTTCGGTTTCAATGAGTGAGAGTATTTTAGAATTGATTTGGGTTTCACCATCCACAGATATGTCCCTATAACAGTACAAAAAGTTACAAGTATTTGTTGGAAACTCAAAGCTGGTTAAAATAATCTATTTCGAGATTCCATGTCGTCTCAAAGGTAAAGAGAACAAATTTTTCATATTTTTTTTCTCAAATGCACTGGTAGGTAGATCGAGAAGGACTTGACTTATAGCCTGTTCGATCTCCAGACTTATTAGATAACATTTCTTCTTCTAGTGCCGATCCTTTAAGCGTTGCTTAAGTTAACGTAGCACCGGTCAAAAGGCCGGCTATGAGATTTGCGTTGAAAATGAGCATATCTCTTTTGCACATTAATTAACCGTATCTTACTCAATTTTTTGAAAACAGAAATCTATGAATTTTATTATGCTAATAGTAATTACATCAATTGAATTAAAGATCAATACATTCCTATTATATTCAGATACAAATGTTAAATCAGTATCTGCTATGTCTGTCTAGGCGCATTTCAAAATCCATATTGCTGCTTTACACTCACGCTAAATATCTTAAAGGGTGACCACTGACCTAGATTCGTCCTACTCAAACAGCTTAAACTTTAACCTATACAGTTTTCTTTTGTGTTTGTGTGCAAATAAAAGCTGCGTTAGATTTGTGTTTGATTATGACATTTATGATATTAAATATGATAGTGAAAGGTCTTTTTTCTATCTTACTGAGTAAAAAATGAGAGAAAATCTAAATGGTGGAAGTAGTAGCTAAGGTCAGCCTAGACATATTTTCAACAAAACTTTGAAAATGATATTTGTGCAAGTATCAAGGTAAATACCTGCTAGGTGTATGAATGCTGACATTCTCATTCTTAGTATCCTCGTTCTTGGTGTAGGTCCTGTTCCCTTCGGGTGCACTGTCCTCTGTACTCTCACTGCTCACCACCGCTTTGTGCACTTGAGCGACGATTTGTTCTTTCATTTCCTCGCGAAAGCGCCTTTTTCGCGTTCTAGGGGATATCTTGGTGGCGTTCATCATCTAGATAGCTCGAAATCGTATGCTTTACGTTGCTTTACCGCCACTGCAGGATGTATGTGTTTGTCAGTTTGTGTGTTTGTATTGATTGGGGTGACGCCGACGCGCCGCTGATGACGCGCCGCGGCGCCTGATTCGCGTCGGTGGCGTAGCGGGGGCTGGAAAATGCAGGGATCGGTACAGTCCGATTACACAGTTAAAAATTGCGTCAAGTTGGTTGTCTCTAAACTTCCCACGCAGTGTCGTTATTAGTTCATAAAGGATAATGTTCAGCACAAGTTGGACCCTATCGAAATAAGACAAAGCCATCTATTCAGGAGAATGATCACTATGCTTTCGTTCGTTGTCCCAGAGACTAAGCCTAGAATATGCTGATGAGTAACCAAAAAAGTACGAAACAGCTGTCCATTGTTGGCTGTCTTTGACTGGAAATCAGCATGTTTAGGTTGGATCATAGAGAAATTAAATAGATCAAATCCGTCAAACAGTTATATACAATTAGCCCATAGACATCATTTTCCTGCCCTACCCGTAGTACCATTCTTGTGGCAACGTCGCCTCTCCTCAATACCTGGTTCTACGATGCTTCAGGCGCGACAACGCGGCGCAGCGCAAGTCATGCGAGGACACTTGAGGACGCGTTTCAAAAATATTTCTTTATCGCTTTGTTTTAAATATACTAAGTGAAATATTAATCCGAACACAGAGTTTTTCAGCCTTATCAGTTGGACATTCCGGTTTTTATACTGCTTTTTTTTTAACTCACTAACGCTCTAAAAATGAATATTTCAGCCGCAGTAAAGAATCAACGTTGGCGGGTTTTGGTTCTTGACATCCTTTACGATCGTTTACGATGCTTAGAGTACGGAGACCTGTACGATTTCGTCAACTTAGTGAGTTTGATAGGAGCCGTATAGTGGGACTTCGGGAAGCTGGACTTTCTTTTCGGGCAATTGCAGTTAGAGTGCAAAGAAGTGTAGACACTGTGGTTAGGTGTTGTCAGGCATGGCTTCGAGAAGGCCGTACGCAAAGAGCAAGGGGCACTGGACGCCGCCGTAGAACAACAGACCGTGAAGATCGCCGCCTAAGATTATTGGCTTTAAGGGACCGTTTCTCCACTACCAGGTCCATTGCAAATGAATGGTTTGCAGAACACGGAAGACCTATTGGCGAAGTGTTTACCGACGAATGAGAAGTTGTGGCTTGTTTTCATACCGGCCACACTGGGTCCTCCCTTTAACTCGAGAACACCGACGTAATCGCCTTGAGTGGTGCAGACAACGGTCACTCTGGGATCAGGAATGGAACAGTATTGTCTTTAGTGACGAGTCTCGATTTTGTTTAGGCATGCACGATGGTCGTGCCAGGGTTAGAAGGCGACGTGGTGAAAGGAGGAATCCCCAGTTTTTTGTTGAAAGACATGTTCATCACACTGTTGGAGTTATGGTTTGGGGTGCTATAGCTTATGGTTCCAGGTCACCTTTAATCTTCATCAGAGGTAACATGAACGCGCAGCGTTATATCCACGAAGTTCTAGAACCCCATCTTTTACCCTACCTTGACACCCTGGCAGATCCAACTTTCCAACAAGATAATGCCCGACCACATGTTGCAAGAGTCACAATAGACTTCTTTCAACATAATGATGTCACATTGTTACCATGGCCACCAAGATCTCCCGACTTATCCCGAATTGAGCACGTGTGGGATATGATGGGTAGGAGATTGCTCAATTTGCGACGTCCTCCTCAGACTCTAGAAGCACTTCGAGAGGAGTTGGTGGTTGCCTGGAATGAGATACCACAGGAGGACGTTGACCACCTGATCAGAAGCATGCCTAGGCGCGTTGGAGAATGCGTAGCACATCAGGGTGCATCCACACATTGTTAAAGGTCAAAGGGTTTTAAAGCAGTGCAATCATTTTGACATTTTTATCATTTACTTATTATGCTTCATTAAGTACTTATACAAAATTTTATTAAAATAAAACCATTTAAACTGGGTGTTCGGATTTATATGTCACTTAGTATATGTCTAATATGTGCCTGGAACTACCGAGGCTGGAAATTGTATTGTTATACAAAAAGTCTGGGGACCTTGGTCGCCATTCTTGGGGCAATATCTGAAGCGGTTCTGAAAATACTAATTAATTTCCTTTTTTTTTCCTAAAACTTCAAGAACCCGAGTTTTTGTAAGGAAACATTTTTGGACCATAGTTTATAAAGCAAACTAACATTAATTTTTCATGTAGATTCACATCCTTGAATATTCGCATATCATTAAGGAACACCCTGTATATTGTTATTAGAAACTTGTTAGGTATTGCAAGTATATAAATAATAAAAAATAAATAATAAAAGTTATTCATCCTGAAATCAAGTTGTGTTACTAAGGGTGCAAAAGCCCGAAATAGATAAGTCTACACCACAAACGTGAGGTACATGTTATATAACATTCAAAGAAGATAATATCTCATTTTCTAAATTTTTCGTGATTACCATACTTCCCCAGTAAAGCATGAGACATAAAACAAGTGAAAGGTTCCGGTACTTCCTATGCATTAATCACTTCTGCCTTAGTTACTCTACGTACGTCGAGACGGTTGGATTTACTGTACTCCATTTGGTGATCAAAAACTTCGTTCTTACCATGGTGTCAAAGAACTGAATCTTAATCTTATTTCCTAAATCACCGATAAGGGTTGATATAAAACTTTGGCAGCAAAAGAAATAGAGTATGGTGAATCTAACGATATTAATTTCACAAAAATTGTAAATAAAGTCTTTTGACACTAAGAACATAAAAATCGCATGTGAACTTTTCTAAAACTATGCGGACTTTGCGAAATTTTGAACGCCCAAAAACGTTCTTTGAACATTTCTAAGAGCAGCTTAGAAAAATAAATGGACTCTGAAATATTCAATACTTTTTAATCCAAAAAGTTCGATATTTATATTTATTGACCGACCGAAAAATAATTTTATTCCATTACGCTGAAAAGTGTGGGACGATTATGCGGAACTTTTTTGTTTTGTTTTTTCTATTGTGGTCTTACAGAAAATAATTAACCGTCTTTATTGCGCGAAGTTTTGCACAAGCTATTCTACCACTCAACCCGTAAAATGTCTATCCACAATAAACAATAAAAACAATATATACCACTAAAAATGTAAAGGTTTCAACATAAAAACGAATTAATTGAGTAAAATTGGAGGCAAACAAGTTACATGCCTCCCTAAAATTGCGGTCCTGTGTATGATGTTTGGTCACAGCTTGTGAATCGCCCTGTATATGACAAAAATGCTTATACGAAATTGCTGGGAATAAGTATCCAGTTCCTGAGATGGCCGCTGCCCCATTAAACATGACACATCCTTGGAACATTTCATACTACTATTCGTCATTTATTTGTCTGGGCGGTCCGTAGGACCTTTGCCCATTAGTCACTGCCTGATGTACGTTAGTCGAATCTGTCAGTCCTGGTTGCCCAGAAACCAGACAAAGTCAAGGAAAAAGAGAACGGGAAAGAGAAGAAAAAAGGAGAAGAACAAAGAAAAACAGATATGCTTAGTTTAAGAGGAAACACCTAGGCTTTTTGACTTGGTACACGGATTAATTTTGAGGTGAACTAAACAAATTTTTTGATTCGGTTTTGTTAGAGTGTAATTTTGAGTTTACTAAAGATTCACGCTAACTTTTGATTACAGTGCGAGCCGTGGCCTTGAATGTTTACGAACTTGCTCCACTGTGTGGTCCACTGAGTCACGCAACAGAGGGTTGCTGTGCGATTCCGCTTGACTATAACATCGCTGCGCCTGAAGCTTGACATAATCCCTCAAGTAAGGAATGTCAAGGTCTCTGTGTAGTGTCTCATTTGAGACATACCATGGAGCGTTGCAAATTGTCCGCAAAGTTCTGCTTTGCAGTACTTGAAGACTTTGCATGTGTGTCTTGGCAAGAAAACACCATGCCGCACATGCATAAGTAATGGCTGGTCTAATAATCATTTTATATATTCGAACTTTGTTTATCAAATTCAATTTGGAGGATCTACATAACAAAGGATATAGTTGCCGAAACGCAATTTGGAATTTTGTTTTTATGGATGCTGTATGTTTCTGCCAGGTCATGCCTTTATCAAGGGTGACACCGAGATACTTGGCAGAATTTGTCCATGGTACACGATTTCCGTCTACAGAAACCTCTGCTGGGGGGCCGCGACGTTTTTTGGTACAATAAATAGCCCGCGTTCTCGAATGATTAATTTTTATCAGCCACCGTTCCGCCCACTCTAGAACTTCGTCCACCGCATTCTGCAACCCATCGTAAACCAGATCACCAGTACACGACTGGGCGACAAGTGCAGTGTCCTCAGCATAGAGGTAGACTTCACAGTTGCTGGGGGAAGGGACATCATGGATGAAAAGGGAATAAAGAATTGGTCCTAGGACCGAATCCTGAGGAGGAACATTTCATATTAGCAGTTTAATGGGCCATGGGCCATTTTGAGACATTGTACCTAGGTGCCGGAGCCATGTCTTATTGAACTTTTAATACTGCGAGAAAGATTACAAAACTGTTAAAACACACTTTATAATGTCGAAAAAGCCATTGAGGTACCGGTGACTACGAAATTCGCAGGATTGATTTTTTTAATGATAAATTATGTTCATGTTTTGATGAAAGCACTCAGCGTATTAAACTGCTTCGTAGTTATCATCTTAAACATAAAATGTGGTACAAATTATTACCTATGTGGTAGACCGGATGAGCGGCTACAGAGTTCTGTGAGCCCTGGCGCAAAAGAACATCAAAAAGTACATTAAATGAGAATGTTGCGTCCTCCATGGCACTGCGCCCTGATGCTTCCTCACTTTCTTTCCACTCGTAGCTGGCCTGGTGGTAGTTACAAATGATTTCAATGTAATAATATATGGTTTTGATGTACATATTGAGAACCAAATTAAACTTGGAACTCCACAGCCCTAAATAAACTAAAATGTACTAGCGCTTTCCGCGCTATCCTAGAATAAAATGACAGCTGCTACGTGTGGAAATGCTAATAGTGTGTATGCACATATTTTGTTCGTTGATATTTACGGTACTGCTAGATTCTTAAACAGTGCCGGATTAAGCCTGTAACAAATTATATCAGGCAAAAAGTTTGAGGGTTGAGACTAAAAGGAAAATATGGAATGGTTGGCGACTGAGAATTGCAGAGTGGTGGTGGGAGTAACGGCAGCAAGCAAGAGGTAATTGAAAATTGAAGAGGGAGAGGGTGATGGTGAGGAGAGATACTTTCATAAAGCGTTGGTGCACTGTTCGCTCAAATGGGCGGCGACCGTAGCATCAACTACTCTTGTAAATACGCCACTGCATTTAAGCGTATCACATTAATGTCAAATAAGTATCAATATTGTCGTACCTCTTATAATTTTCGTACCTCTAATGAATTGGCTCTGTACAATTTTTGTCGGACCTCTATACACTTTCTACGGTTATGACAATCACAGAACTAAAAATGTTGGTCTCAAAATAGCATTTAGCTTAGATGTTTTGTGGTAGCATTTTTGAGTCAAAACAATTTCAATTTTTCAGGCAAAAGAAATTAGAAAAACTGGACATTTCAAGACCATCCGTTCCAAATTTTTTTCTAGTAATATAAACTCGATATAGCCCGGCAAAGGTATTTCGTATCTTGAAAAGAGAGATTGTCGTTCTTTGACATTACAAATATACAGGGTGTAAAGTTAGTAGTGGATCAACGGAAGCCAGGTGATAGAGGGCCTCAAAACCTATCGAATCAACCCCTATATGTGTGGTCCAAAATTTTATAGTTCAGGAGATATTTGCAATTTTGTGAAATTTCGAAAAAAAACGGGATAATGAACTTTCAATTGCAATTACGAAAAGTGGCATAACCATTGCTATAACTAACCATTTAGCTCAACTAAAAAAACACAGCTCCAAACCTAATGGTTTAGTTGTAATTGCGATTGAAAGTTCATTATCCCGTTTTTTTTCGAAATTTCACAAATATGCAAATATCTCCTGGACTATAAAATTTTGGACCACACACAGGGGTTCATTCGATAGGTTCTAAGGCCCTCTATGACCTGACTCCCGTTGATCCACTACTAACTTTACACTCTGTATAGGTTTCCCTATATGTGAACTTGGAACTAGCGGTTGTTAACTTGATGTACACTCGTTGTGTAGATATTTAGGGGCATTTCGAAATATTTTTACACATATGAAAACAAAATATCCTGAAATATTTTTCAAATATAAAAGAATGTCTGTTTAACAGTCTCCTGTGTCTTCCTAAGCCAAAACTGCTAAAGCGTAGTAGGAGAGAATATTTAAGCCCTGAATTATGGTGAGTTTTAATACACATGTATACATTCTAAGCATTCTTGATTGGCACCCAGAGGACAACGGAACGGAAAAGTTGAATCTTGGACATCTCTTCCGTTCACTTTCCGTTTCCATTTAAAGTTTGGCTGACGTTGTAATATGTACGAGAGGAAGCGCGATAAGAGTGCGATATGTATGTTAGAAAAAATGGAAGCACCTCGTTGGCTAGCGACCCGAGTACGAGGACACGGAAGCCGCCAGCGCACTCTTTCTAACATACATGTCACACACTTATCGCGTACACATTACGTCGTCAGTGGTATCTGGTTTTCAGTCTATGTACGGATAATATGCAATTGGAAGTGTTCTTTGTTTTCCGTTTACGCTCCCTGTAGGTCCCGAAGTACAAAGTTCGCAAGGGGCCTTGTATAAGTCCAGAGGGAGAGGAGTGCGTCATGATTTTGGATACATGAACTGTATCTTGTTTGGAGCTCCATAAGTCACGTTCTTGGGCTCCCTTGAGTTCCGAGGGCTGACGCGTGTCATCTTAGATCCGCCCCTGACCGGAGCTATATGACCTAGAGCGGAGTGTCGTGACTAATTCCGCGAGTAAAGCAGTGTGTGGGCAGGAAATGCAACATCGCGGCAGTGCAAGGAGCATATTAATTATTTGATAAAACTGCACTTGTTGAATGGGAGTTGAACTTGCATTGACGTTTGACATTTCCCTCATCAGTGACTTTCAGGCGACTTCTCTCTTATCTTCGAAGATAACATATTTTTTACTTCGCATTTCCAGTGATATTCTATTACTTGCGAAGAGTGTCTAGACTGTCACACTTAAAAGATCCGATCTAATCCTGGAAATCAAATCCAACGCGAAACTGCCTCACAAATATGTCTCACCAGCAACCTCTAAATAAGGTTGATAACAATGCAGGAGTTAATTGTAATACACAAAGAACAAGGTATGTTGAACATGTATCTGTTTTTTGGAATCACTATATCCTTGACAAAATTTAATAATTTGCAGCTCATGGTGGTCTGGAGTTCAAATGGGCCCTCCGGATTTCATCCAGGGTGTAAAAGAAGCTTTCATGAGAGATACAAACCCTAATAAAATAAATCTTAGTGTAGGAACTTATTATGATGATAATGGCAAACCATACGTACTTTCATGTGTTCGGAAAGCTGAAGACCAGCTAAGAGCTAAGAACCTAGATAAAGAATACTGTCCAATTTCTGGCACGCCAGAGTTTTGCAAACGTAGTATTGAATTCGCATTATCTGAGGACTCTGATGTTATTAAAAATGGGCTAAATGCAACTGTCCAAGGTATCTCAGGAGCAGGATCACTCAGGATTGGTGCAGCATTCTTGAACAGGTTCTTCCCTGGCAACAAAGCTATTTACCTTCCCAATCCTACTTATAGTAACCACACTCCCATTTTTACACAAGCTGGGTTACATGTCAAGGCATACACGTATTATGATCCAAAAACTTGTGGATTTGATTTTACGGGTTTTATGGATGAAATTTCAGTAAGTAGGAATTAAAGAACAATGTCATATATTTAGCATATATATAATAATATAATATACGATTACAGAAAATTCCAGAAAGATCTATAATACTCCTACATGCATGTGCACACAATCCGACAGGTGTGGACCCAAACAAAGAACAGTGGGCAGAGATATCACAGTTAGCGAAAAAGAAGAACCTGTATGTATTCTTTGATATGGCGTACCAGGGATTTGCAACTGGAGATATTGACAATGATGCATTTGCTGTGAGTTTTACATAAATATTAGAGTTATTGAGGCATTATAATGAACCTGTCAAACCTCGTTTTGATTCTGCCTAATATGTTGATTTCAGCGCCAGATGACGATTTGTAGTTCAGAACGGTTGTGGGATAGTTTCCTGTAAAAACCTCAAGGAATCTATTATACATCCAATATCGGGTTCAATCAGGAAACAAAACAGGGATGCTCTCTGATTCCGTTTTATTGCAGTATGAAAACTATTGTGCTGTATAATTTTAGAACAGACTAATACTAATGTTTAGAAATTGGTTTAACATTTGGGAATTGTGCTCAATAACACTTTTGATTTGCTACTCTTATAGTAATTCTAAATTCTTTCTCTGCACTGAAATATAGTTTTACACCTATTCAGAAGTCTATTATATCAGTGCCAGCTATTTCAATTATCTTATTAGTTTAGGTGCTTTGGAATATTGCAAAGCTATTAAATCAAAAATTATGTTTCTTGTAAATGTACCTCAGCAATGTAATAATTATAATTTAGTTGCACCACGCTGGGCTGCTACGAGCTAGCGTCATGTATAGCTTAGCTCACTTCAAGAATATCGATCGCTATCGACTGACAATTAGCAAAGCTTAGCATAACGAGTGTCATATACAGTGCTTATATAAGTCAATTTTAAGATTTTAAAAGGCTATAGGCGAAACTACTTATGAAAATTGCCCCCTAAGGTATTCAAATCTGGATCAATCCAAATTAGGTTATATTTGGTCAAATCATCTTTGCCAAATTTTCATATAGATAGGGGCCCCTAACCTTAAAAACGCATTTTTCCAAAAATATTTTTTAAGGGCTCAATTTTGCTAAAAAAAATTTGAGGCAAAGTTACCGTCGCTACATTGTTATATTCTACATAACCGTGATTTTTGATACGTTTGTGCAACGTATAGGTTCGACAACTCTTTTGTTAGGTAATCAAAATTTATCAAACCTCAAAATCCACTGTATATCAGTGCTTTCCTGCGTTATTTTCAAATCCACTCACAAAATTATGAATTTTTCCCCGGAAAATCGTCAAGAATGGGAAAAACCGTATTTTCACCTAATTTCTCCAATTTTTGAGGATTTAAACGTAGGCTGGCTAACCCAAGGACCCAGCGTATATATGCATTTTGTCCATTCTTTTAGATTCCACAATAAAAATTTGGATGTCTCCCGGAAAATCACGAAAATAAAACAACAGTTTTACTGATTTTCTTTTTGACGCTTTTGGTAAGGATGCGAATAATTGGCTAACCTAGTAACTCATTCTATACATGTAATTTTTATATTCTTTCAGTTCCGTTGTTAAAATAATGATTTCTCAATCCGGGGATTCATTCAGTGAACATGTAGCAGATTTATCGTAGCACTAGCTTATAGCAGCTAGAAAAGCTATAAGTATAATTCCATGATTTCTAATTTCATTGCTTCATTCGGGTTCACACCAAATACCATATCATCGTGGCTCCAACATATTTTAGTTTCTCCAAATTTTTTATGTTTGTTCGAGTGTATCATTTATTTTGCCTCTCCATATGACTTTGAGGGTTCTGCTATCATAGTTTTCATAGATAGATAAGCATGAAATTACAACCAAACTGTAGATTTACAAACCTTCACCTTGAATAATAATCATGGAATTATGTCGCTTATAGGCAGATATGAGCTACGTTTGAGAAATACTATAATTGCAATTTGTTCAAATCTAGAATAGATAAGAAATTTTTGATAAATTGCAAAAAAAGAAATATAAAAAAAGTTGGCAAGGCAGCCGATCGTAATTCATTCAATCCCTGTCGTTTCATTTATTGGCCAGGATAAGGGAGATAGATCCTGGAACATGAAATACTGTACTGTACTCAATACTAGACGGATTTTAGTAGAATATTCCATTTAGGAAATTTTTTTATTTACCTTGTAGGTACGCCAGTTCATAAAAGATGGCCATCAAATCTGCCTTGCTCAAAGTTTCTCCAAAAATATGGGTCTGTATGGAGAAAGAGTTGGTGCATTTACTGTAGTTTGTTCTTCCAAAGAGGAAGCAGATAGAGTGATGTCTCAATTGAAAATTATTATCAGAGCTCTATATTCCTTTCCACCAATTAATGGAGCAAGGATTGTTACAGAAATTTTAGGTGATCCTAAACTCAAGAGTGATTGGTATGTATTAAACTTCTGGGTTCACTACAAGATTCAGATAAAAAATAGTGTCAAGTAGTGTCAAGTACTTCCCACGCAATGCTGTCATCAGTTGATAAAGGATTGTGTTCGGCACAAGTTAGTTCCTTTAAGAAAAAAGCTGGCTACGAACAAGTATGATAAAAAATGAAATGAATCAAGTCAGTCAAGCAGGCTCATATAATTATACAGGATGATCCTTAATGATATACGAATATTTAAGGTTGTCAATCTACATGAAAAATTAATGTTAGTTTGTTTCATAAACTATGGTCCAAAAATCGTTCCTTAGAAAAACTCGGGGTGTTGAAGTTTTAGGAAAAAAATGGAAATTAATTAATATATTCAGAACCGCTTCAGATATTTCACTGATATTTAGTACGTAGTGGAAGTTAATAAAGTTGCATATGTTTCAATGCAAAAATAATTTTTAGCTTTAACAGTGGCGTGCGTACGGGTATTGACCTCGATATTTTTTAAGAAAAAAATGGTACGTCAACGGTTTTATGCAAAAAAAAAATTATTTTTCAATTCCCCGTTCAATTTAAGATAAATGATCTCTTTTGAATTGTTCTCTTACGATGCGCCATTTTTGTGTAAAAAAATAAAAGCCGTTCTATTGTCTAACTTGCAAAATTATTATTAATTTAATTGGAAAAATTACACACATTAGGGGTAATGAACAACTACAACTGACAACATAAACATAACATTGAAACCAATGAAATAATTACAAACATGGTTGAAAATGGCACCCCCCTTCACTTAGTATGCATGCTTCCGCCATCCTTCTCATGGAATTGCACACTCGTTGAAATATCCCTGGAGTGTTTTTTATTCTATCACAAGCTGCAACTATTCTTTCTCTCAATTCCTCTACAGTGTTAATGGGACTTGTGTACACTAGTGTCGTAAGGTAGCCCCACAAAAAGAAATCTAAACTGCTGAGGTCTGGGGACCTTGGTGGCCATTTTTGGGACCCACCACGGCCAATCCAACGATTTGGATAAACAGTTTGTAAACAACTGCGAATCGCTACACTGAAATGCGCTGGTTGCACCATGTTGCATGTACCACATATTGTTTCGTATTACTAACGGAACATCATCAAGCAGCAAAGGCTACTGTTGTTGAAGAAAATTGAGGTAAGTCTGTCCGTCAAGTCGTCCCGACAAGAAGAATGGGCCATTAAAGTGATTGCCAGTAATTCCTACCTATACGTTAACCGAAAATTGGTGTTAGAAATGGGTTTCGGTTACGGCATAGCGATTTTCTTCTGCCCACAAATGATTATTGTGGAAATTCTGAATGGCATTTCGAGAAAAACTAGCTTCGTCCGTGAACAGAATCATTGATTCAAATTGCGGATTTTGTGTATTTTTTTGAAGATACCACTGACAAAAGGTCACACGCCTTTGAGAATCAATGTGATTTAATGTACTCTTTAAATATGGTAAGGATATAACAAAAAATCCACTAAAATTCTCCAAACAATTTGATGGCAAATATTTAAGTGTCTATCGATCTTCCTCGAACTCGTTTCAAGATGGTCTTCGACTTTGTGCAGCACTGCTTCCTCAACTTCAAGTGTTCTCACACTTACAGGTCTACCTTCAGATGTTCCTTTTCGGACAGAACGAGTTTCAACAAGACGACGACGAATATTAGAAAAGTTCGACTATCTGGCAAAGCACGATCGGGATATCTCTGGTGATAAATCCGTCTGGCTTGCTCACTATTACCGTCGGCAAGGTCACATACGTAATGCATTTCCGCCATTTCTGCATTTGAATAATTCAGCGTTATTAACAAGATTGTAAAAACTAAATAATGAAAAATATGTCACAGCGAACAAATGTAAATAACAGAGACTTGTCAGATGTCAAGAGCCAGTGACATATTCCAGATATTTATTGCTAAATTGCATTCCTCAATTATTACATTAATTTTCTCGGACAATAGAACGGTTTTTATTTGTTTACTCGAAAATAGCACATCGAAGGGAAACAATTCAAGAGAGACCATTTGTTTTAAATTGAACGGGAAATTCAAAAATATTATTTATTTGGCCAAAAACCGTTGGCGTACCATTTTTTTCTAAAAAAATATCGAAGTCAATACCCGTACGCACGCCACTGTTAAAGCTAAAAATTATTTTTGGATTGAAAAACATGTAACTTTATTAACTACGTGCTAAATATCAGTGAAATACCTAAAGCGGTTTTGAAAATATTAATTAATTTCCATTTTTTTCCCTAAAACTCCGAGTTTTTGTAAGCAAACATTTTTGGACCATAGTTTATAAGGCAAACTAACATTAATTTTTCATGTAGATTCACACCCTTAAATATTCCCATATCATTAAGGAACACCCTGTATAATATTTAACATAATTCGATGTAGAATTTTTGGTATTTTTAGGATCTCCTCCCCCGTGAAAATTAGCTCGCCCCGCTCTTCAAGAAGTTTTGTATTCCGGTACATTTCCACAAAATGGTATGTCTTGCGGATAAATCCCCCCATCTCTCTCAGACAAAATCCTGCGAGCGCCCATGAGCGTTGCTATTACTAACCTCGCCGCTCGTTATCCACCGCAGTACAACAGCTCCTACCGTTGATCGTACTCCACCAGAATTCGTTACTCAATGCACCTATTGACTGCGAAACACAGACGTCACCGAAATGCGACACACGTATATCCAGCGACGAATCAATTGAACGGAGAAATCCATGATGTTTAAAATATGCCTAATATGCGCGAAGAAGATACTAGGGCTGGAAGCGTCAAGCGTATAATTGTACTAACGGTATAGAGCTGACAACTCCTAAAACCCCCAACCTCCAATTTTTGACCTTTACCAAAATTTGTCTGAAAATGTTTAAGAGCTTCGAAAACTTCAAACAACAAGTTTGAGCGATTTTTGTTATTTTAAGTTGTTGCCCCTAGCGGCGCCAAAATTGGTTCGATTTTCAAAAACTACAACTTTTTCGTCCTTGGCACGGTAGTAACTTTGAAAAACCTTGGAAATTTAATCGAAATCCAAGCCGTGCTTTCCTTGTTATAGACGGGTCAAGGAGTAGCGGACAAACCGACAGAGTGACATGCTTTCTTGTGATGTACATGTTAAACCCAAATATCCCATTTTCGAAATTTTTGGAGATTAGAATGCTGCATTGCCAGTAAAAGGCATAGTATATTTTATTATCAATTATAGTATTGAAACATTTACTATGTCTGAAAAAGGGTATTCAAACTAAAAAAAGGATACTGGTTTGACTAAAGTATGAAACTCTAAAATTAAATAATAATAACATTCACATCTTAGTCCATATTATTCAAATATTTTTTGTAGGCTACAGGAATTAAAAGGAATGGCTGATAGAATTATCTCCGTCCGATCCAAACTAAGAGACTGTCTAAAAAAAGTAGGTTCAACTCGCAACTGGGAACACATAACAAATCAGATTGGTATGTTCTGTTTCACTGGAATGACACCTGATCAGGTGAGTTACCATTTAAATTCGAATACGTTGATGACATTATCCAATATCTTGGTGTTACGAGCTAATGTAGACCAAGCGCGGATCAAGGGGGGATCATGGGGGTTATGACCCCTCCCCTGGGCGAATACCATTAATATTTATGACTTTCGGATCTCTTTGATACATTTAATAAAATACAGACTCTTAGCAAATATGTAATGGATACAAACGGGTAAAAAATCACCATACCTGGCAACCCTGATCAATTTGTAAGCCTGATGATGGTGTGGAAGTAAAAGGGTTGCGTAGGTTTGGTTGCCTATACAGGGTGACAGGTAAATAGGTATAAAACATTTTAGGAGGTGATAGTACAGCTCCTTTGCTATCAAAATTAGTATAATACCATACCCTATATTCAAAGGTTAAAAAGTTATGCAAGATTCAATTTTTTTAAAAAAACAACACAGATTACAGAGTAAAATAGTTGAGATAAAAAAAAGTTGGTGATTAAACATTCTTTTTTTGGCGGTTTCAGGTTATTATTTAAATAAATAATTCTTATAAATTAAAAAAACATATGAAAACACTACTGAAAACGTATTTATTTTCATTTAAATGTTAAATGAAAATTTTTATTTTCAACTTTCACATTAAGAAGTCTTTTTTTTTCCAAAAAATCATAATAAAGAAAATGTACAAATAACTGCAAAAACTTCCTCATTTCCTTAGGTTTCTAAAATGATATAATAACATATCAGTAAGTAAACCATTTAACAACACAATATTACTTTGCTAGAAAGGACCGCTAAGCGCATTTCATTGTACTGAGCAGGTAAACCGAGCCATTCATGGTTCGACCCTTTTTGTTATTATTTGTGCCCTGTGGCGTTATTCGGGTTTAAGTATTCGGAATCTGTCGTCGCTCCTCGGAAGCAAGCTCTGCGTGTGTTATGAATTGACACAGCTGACGGATCAAGGAAAGGGAACTAACGCTTAGGTTAGTTAGTAGAATATCAACCTTTAACGCGGTAGGACGTACTTTTACTTTTTTGATCAGTTTAAATAATGGCGAGTTACCGTAACGAAGAATACGCTGATATTCTGTTTTGTTATGGTATGGTTTAAGTGATGGAAATTCCGTTGAAGCCAGGCGAGAATACGAAAACCGTTTTCCGAATCGGCGAATACCGAGTCATCGAGTATTTGCTTCTGTGTACCAACGCGTCAAGGAAAGTGGACAGGTTCATGAGAGATGTCATGATGCTGGTAGACGTCGGTTGTTTGACGACGAAGATCGAGAGGCAATACTGGAATGCTACGGCAGAGACCCGACGACGTCTACACAAGTTATAGCAAAGCAGCTTGGTTTAACTCAGTGGAAAGTTTGGTTCGTTTTGCATTCGGCAAGACTTTAGCCTTTCCATTACACACCGGTTCAAGTATTAGAAGAAAGAGATCCCGCAAGAAGAATTGATTTTTGTCGATATATGCTTCATCGGGATCAAGAAGAAAACGACTATTTAACTACAATATTGTGGACCGACGAGTCTAAGTTTGACAGAGAGGGGACAACAAATTATCACAACTTACAATATTGGGCCCCACGAGAGGCAAATCCCCACATGGCAAAGCCAAGAGCCCATCAAAGAAGATTTTCGGCAAACGTGTGGATGGGAATCATTTATACGTATCTAATTGGACCAGTTTTTTGCCTGACAACCTGAATGGCGAATCCTATGAAAACTTTTTGAGATCCGAACTCTGGGAGTATCTCGAAGAACTGCCTCTGAATATCAGGATGCAGATGATCTACCAACACGATGGCTGTCCCGCGAATTTCTGTCTGGGTGTTAGACAGTGGCTGGACGAGAAATATCCTTGTCGCTGGATTGGCCGAGGTGGACCGACATCGTGGCCAGCGAGGAGCCAAGATTTAACACCGTGTGACTATTATTTATGGGGGCACATGAAGTCTGGTGCACGCTGAGCCCATAGACACTCTTGCACAGTTGAAAGAAAGAATGATTGCTGCTGCTGACACTATCAGAGGACAACTAACTGGCCGCATCACGCGTACCAACATAAGAAACGGCGGGCGTCAGTTCGAACAATTGCAATGAATTTTACCTTCATTTCATTATTGTATTTTACTGACCAATTGTAGTAACTTTTAGTCTGTTTTTATTATTCTGTAGTACAATTACAACTGTGTAAATAATCTAATCGTGGAACTTAACCGTAGTTTAAAATAATAAATATCCCATAGCTTACAGTTGCATTATTTTCACAAAAACACTTTCTTATCAATCAGAGAGTTGTGAAAATAGGAGACAAGCCATTGGTAAATTTACTCCCTATTGTTGTATTACAATACATTATGTTTAGTTTCACACAGTTTTTGTGCAGTTATCATACCAATTTAGATTCCTTATGAAACAAGGATATTATTTAAATTGTTTGTACGTTTTTTTGTATACTGATTTTTTTGTAAAACACCTTACTTACCGTAAAACGTTATTTGTTTTTCTTAGTTAAACATTTTTGAATGAAAATAAATACGTTGTTTGGTATTGTTTTCGAATCTTTTTTAATTTATAATAGTTAATTATTGAAATAATAACCCAAAACCACAAAAAACAAATGTTTAATCGCCAACTTTTTTCTCTCTCGACTGTTTTACTCTGAAATATATTTTTTTTTTATTTATTTATTAGCAGCAGATTCAACATGTATACAGTTTTTTACATCATATTAAATATATAGACTTTACAATTATTGTATAATATTTAAATCCAGCCAGCTATTCTTAAAATTACCCACTATTGCTAATAGTTTTAGATGCGCAATTGTATTCAAAATACTGTGTGTGCACCCCATTCACATTGTTAAGTGTAACTTTTTCATTGAGGTTCTTAATTCTAGGTTACAAAGAGAAAAAGAAATATAAAAATAGATCAAACAAATTCAAAGCTATTATGTTTTATCTTAAATTTTAGGAACTTAATACCTTTAATGCTACAGGTTTTTATATTACATAATTAATGGCGTATTGACTATCAATAATCCATCTTGTTAATTCCTTTTTAACAGTAGAATATCTCAATCTCTTAATACTATTTGGCACATCATTATAAACTTTTGGACCTATACAGTAAACGTGACTCTGGCAAGCTGTGTGTCTAGGGTTTTGCAATTTTACTTTTGCATGAGCAGCACTTCTTGTGGATATGGATTGTTTTTAAAAAATCTTAAATCTTCAATAACTTTTCAACCTTTGAATATAGGGTATGGTATTATATACTAATTTCGATAGCAAAGGGGCTGTACTATCACCTCCTAAAATGTTTTACACCTATTTACCTGTCACTCTGTAGATTCAGCTTGACGCAAATATAAATAAAATAGGGATTCTGCGTTTTTCGGCTTGGTAACACTGTATGTTTGTTAGTGCATTATTGGAAACTGAATACATGTGTTCTGTGATTAAGGTACTTAATTGAAAATCCAGAGATTCAGACAGGAGTATAAGAAAAAAGCTATTCGCGTTTAACGCTGTGAGCAAATATGACAAAAATACTTGTTGATGGGTAAAATGAGAGAATAGCGGTTTCATTTGATTGAAAGGAGATGGTACTTGTCCAGCCGCCGGAAGAGGATTTATCATTTCATTACTGATAAAAAGCCTAAATATATCGTAGGCAACCAGAAATCATAATGGTAATGTCAGAATACCATCAGGAGCCAAGTAAACTGGTGGTCATCCCAGAAGACCAATAGGCCGCAAAGTGTTAAGATTCACGCCCGCTGAGAGAAAGGGAAGAGAAGAGAAAAGACGCGTTAAACATAGCATTTCCGATCGATTCGTTTAAACACAATCAAATGAGAGGCCGCGCACTGAAGCGACGCGAAAGGAACGAACGTGTCATTTCATCGCGGCCAAATGACAAATGACGATACGGTTCCCTCCGCGTCGCTTCAGTGGGCGCGCAGCTTTACGGTGGCCTAATGCGCCACAGCACAAACTTATTAATACTATACAATAAAACTTTTAAAATAATTCGTTTTACAGGTTGGAAGGTTGATTAAGGAGCATAGTATTTATTTAACCATAGATGGTCGTATTTCGATGGCTTGCGTCACATCAAAAAACGTGGAATCTATTGCACGTGCAATACATCAAGTTACCAATTAATTCTTCTGCTGAGACTTACCCTGTGCCAGCTATGAGTTTATATGTTACGTGTTATTGAACAGTCCTTTACAAAGAGGCTCTGTACAGATATATATTTAAGAAACAACTTAATAAGTTTTTCGCTTTTCAGTTCAAGCGTCATTTGCATAATATAGTATTGTTTAATATGTATTTCGTATATGTATATTTTTCTTTTTTACCTCAAAGTTATTATTTAAGTGAAACTGAATATATTATTTGTTCTGAAAATCATTTTGAGTTGTCTTTGACTGACGCTTTATGGGCAGAGACGTCTACCAGCTACAGCGAAAGAAGGAAGGGGCGGGGAGCTATAACGCAGTCACCACCTCTTGTTTCCACCTTTGTGTCTCTATTCGTCCTTTGAAAATTACCTTCATGATAAAAACTGAATTTCCATTATTAGTCTATAAGCAAGCAAGTTGTAAGTCTCTTATTTAACACATCTTCTTAATCCGTGTGTCGATCTTAATTTTTAAAGGCCATTTTACTCTTTTTTATGAGTAACGAACGTATTGTAACGCTCTTGCAACTAGGACTTAGAGTAATAATGGGACACTCTCATAACATCGACCGCCATCTAGCAAGCTTCTTCGAAGCGCGAGTTCGGCCTAGAAAAGGCAAGGGTGCTTCTGAACTCTTCGCCGGATCGCCACCAGTGCACCATCCTACGTAAGAAACTCAACCTTGCGTAGGGACCTGCACTGGGACACCATTCACGAGTACATGAGGAAAAAAGCGGAGAAGACCTTCCAGAACGCTCAGGACCACCCGAACGAGCAGCTAAGATTCCTCATGGACTACGAGGCCTCGCAACCGCAGAACCAGGTACCCTAGACCAAGGTCTCAGTTGGCACCCGCTAACTGGAACCTTGACTAGGAGATCATGAGAACCCGCGGTTGCTCCCCCCCCCCCACGGCGTGGATGCAGAGGACCAGGAACCACCGCGACCAGGAACCACCGGGACCAGGACCCACCGGGACCAGGACCCGACAGGACCAGGACCCGCCACGACCAGGACCCACCAGGACCAGGACCCTTCAGGACCAGGACCAGGAACAACATATTGGTAAGAGGACTTGAAACTCTTGATTTTTCGAAAACAAGAGTTTCAAGAGAACCTAGCAGACCCTCTATCGATGATCGCTTAACGACATCGATAGAATGTGCGAGGTAAAGGGAACCAACCCGGCGTTCCCAGAGACTGAAACACATGAGGAGACGTTGTAGCAGACCGCAGGTCACGCACAACACATGGCCTACCGAGACGCTGATGAGTCGGGCCACGCGGAGGTTAGGGTTTAGTGGGTATTAGGTGGTCTCCTCAAGACAACCTGGAGTCCCACACACGCCGTAGCTCGGGCTATGGTATGGTGCGTAAACGCATTCCCCCCTCACAAAAAAAAAGACTCTTCGATTTGAAAATAAATGCATATACAGAGTGCAGTAGAGGGCAGAGTTGACGATGAGTCAGCAACTGCGCGAAACGCGATATCCCAGTCAACATAGTAATTTCTGTAATAAATTAGTTGCAAGTATTGTAATAAATTAGTCTTTGAGTAACAAATTAAACTGTATATACTTAAATTAAAATAAAATGGTGCTTACATCCCAGTCTTTGAGAATTACACATTTTATGAATAAGTTATTCAGATACACAAGTTTTCAATTTTTATTAATTTGTGCAGTTATTGAAATAATACTACTTTAAATGGGAAAATGGTCCATTTTAGTAGAGTAACAACAAGAGTATCAGTAACAATTTTGGGCAGTTATAAAGACAGTTCTCGCTAGTCTCACCATAAAATTGAAATATAAATAATAAATATTTTACGACGGTTCAACTACCCAAAAACTAACCATATAACAAATTGAAATCTTTCAGAGTCTGCTAAGCTGAACTTAATGTGTCCTCAGTTTAAATGCTGAACATTATTATGCACCTATAGGAATGTACAAAAAACGAGGTCACGCGAATCGTAATTTTCAGTCGCCATATTTAAAAATGGCCGCAAAGTTGAACAACAGTTTTTCAACATATCTTCGTAACTAGTGCTCAGATTTTAATTTTAAGCTCAGTTGCCCCCATTTCAAATACAAACTTATTTTTGCAGTTATGCACTTTTTGATTAATCCAATAACTTAATTCAGATATACTAAGGTTTTTGCGAATGCATTTAAATAACACTAGGTAAGTACATGTAAAATGTTCCATTTTTCGTAGAGCTAAAACCACTTTCGAACGATTAAAATTATTGCATTTATAATCCTAAGCTAGTTTTGGCATATGTGGCCACAAAATCAAACTAGGCATTACAAATCTTACAAAGGTGGAAACGCCGACTATTAAGACTCAGGACTACAGCATGGTTACGTGTGCACCGATATGTGTTTTGAATTATATTCCGAAAGCTCATAAAATTATACAATATTTAAAAAAGAGTCGCGCGGTCCGCATTCCAGCCACTATTCGGATCACGTGATCTTTTTTAAAATATGTTAATCAAGGCTGTAACCCAAGGACTTCCAGGAAAGAGTGCCATATGTTAATCTAACTGACAGTGGTTTTGTTAGTAAACCTACTGTAATCCTCTCGGGTATCCTGTATTGTATTTTGGTGGGTTTTTGTCTTTCTATGAAATGTTTTGCCATCTCGACCTAGGGTGATCCTTCCACCACTTCACTTTTTTCACTTGTGGCAGAGTGTGTGAGGTGAGGAAAATCCATAAAAGTTTAGCAAAAGTTTCAATATTGATCAAGTATTTGACCGACCTTGAGACTCACCTTCAAGACCATAATAGTACATGAGAACGTATTATAACGTAAAACGTCCTATTGCCAATGTTCCTGACCTTGATATGACCTTGAAGGCGAGGTTCAAGGTTGAAACAAAGGTCACCACCTGGCGAGGAAGTATTAAAATCACAAGATGTGCTTTTCTATAATGTCTCCCTCCCCTTTGATTTTTTAAACGGATCAATTCAGAAAATTAAAACTTGAGGCAATGAAATTGATGCGTGGATACCATATTTTAGAGTAAAATTGACAGATGAAAATGTCAAGATGGCTGCTGGGCGCAATCTTGGAAAAAAATTATATGACAACGGGGGTCTTGTGGCAGATGATTTTGATTTTGAAGCTCCTAACAAGTATTTTATAACCCTAGAATATAAAGTCAATACCTATACCTAATACAAAATGATGGTACATTCAATAATTACTTGAACACAAACCCACTAACATGCATATCTCTACAAATAATTGTAATTACCTGCCGTATCCACAGCAACAGCGATAAAAACATGTTTTGTTATTTTTTGTTGACAGTGACAAAAATATCAGTATGAAAACGAACATCATTGTACAGTTAAAATATTCTTATTTAGTTTTCAGTTTTTATTTATGGTGCGACGTGTAACTTTTACGAGACCGAAAGGATTTTTAATGATCGTTTCCAGAATCGTCCTATCTGTAGAAAATATTTAAGGGAACTTGTATCTAAATTTACAGCTACTGGTAGTATGAACAACAAAAAGCCTCCATGTCATCCGACGATCCCGGAAGAAAAGCAAGCTCAAATAATTGGTGAGATCATAGTAAATCCCCAACAGTCTACTTCCTCCATCGCGAATGTATGTGAGGTTTGTAATTCTACTGTGTGGAGACTTTTGAAAAAGAATAAGTATCACCCATACAAAATTCAAATGGTACATCAGCTAACTGAAGATGACCCTGATCGAAGAACAGAATTCTGCGAGACTATGACGGAAACCATTGCACAGCATCTTACCTACAGGGTGACTTCGAAGTTGAGTCATTTATTTTAACAGTGAGTAGATCTGATCAAAAGAAATGTTTTTTTCCTTTACCATTTTTCTGGTAAAATTAAAGTAACAAAGTTATAGCCCTTTGGAAGTTTGAGTACCGCCCTGCCTATTATATGCTCGTGTTTGGCGACAACGGATATAATCCGCCTGACCGGTTCATCGCATCGGAAACAAAAAAGCCAAAGAATTTGAAACGTTTATCACGATGTTTTTCGTCAGTCGATAAATCCTGAGTGAATAGTAGTGTGTTGCGTGGCTCAAACGAAATCAAAAATGGCACATGTTTACGAAAATGCTGAACTTGTGGACATGATTCTTATTTACGGGGGGGCAGTCTTTACAAAATGCTCCCGGATGCATCACGGATTTATGCGAATCGGTTTCCCAATCGAGTGCAACCAACCCCTCGTGCCTTTGTTAATGTAGTGCAAAGGGCTCGTGAATCGGGTGACTTAAGACCTCACAGGTGAGGGCATGCTGCTCCAAGACCGCACGATCAAATACAGGTCCGCACTGAAATACTTGTCGGGAGGATACTTTATTAAACAAGGTAACATTTTTTTTTATTTTATTTTTATTTTTACACACATATTTTGGTTTATCTTCCTTCTACAATCATTATCTGAAAATTAATGACTCAACTTCAAAGTATATAAAATATTTATTTTAGTGATGAATGTACATTTTTTCTCAACGGTAATGTGCATAGACAAAATTATCGTTATTGGAGTGACACCAATCCTCACATCTTCCGGGAAACTCATACTCAATATCCACAAAAAATTAACGTTTGGGCTGGGATATTGGGAAATCATATTGTGTTGCCTCTATTCATCGAACAAGCTTTAACTGGAGAACTATATGTGGATATGCTGGAAAAAACTATTGACCCTCTAATCACCGAAATCGTCGAAGCGAATCCTAATGAATTCGATACTGATATTGTATTCCAGCAAGATGGTGCTCCACCACACTACTACAGACAAGTTAGGAATTATTTAGATAACAATTTCCCTGGTCGTTGGATTGGCCGTCGAGGTCTTGTGGAATGGCCAGCTCGCTCGCCAGATTTTACACCTTTTTTTATGGTGCTCTTTGAAGCAAAACTGAACCTGCTTCAATATTGGAAATACGGCTGATAATAACAAATATTTGTAGAAATATCGATGTTACTATATTTTAAAATGTTCGACGCGAAATTACGGACCGGCTGTTATTGTGTCAAAAAGTTCAAGGCAACCATTTCCAGCATCTTCTAAACTGAACTCAACGTATTTATTCGAATTACCAAGTTAAATGTGAATGTATTCAGGTAATCATTCAATGTAAAACCATTTTGTAGTAGGTAAAGGTATTGACTTTAGATTTTAGGGTTATAAAGTACTAGTCAGGAGTTTCAACATGATGTGCCACAAGACCCACGTTTTTATATATTTTTTTTCCAAGATGGCGCCCAGCGGCCATCTTGACCTTTTCCTCTGTCAATTTCATTGACTCAAGTTTTAATTTTACATTTTTAAAGGGAAGGGGGAGATTAAAGAAAAGCACTGTATATTAAGCAATATGTTTTTATAACTTTAAATTTTTTTATACAGGGTAGCCAAACACGTGACGTCATAAAAAAAAATTAGATTCCCCACATCGAGAGGAACCCAAATCACCCCCATATATATGGTCCGATTTTGTTTAGTTTAGGAGTTATGATTTTTTTTCGGATTTTTCGAGAATTTTTGAGTTCTGTGTTTATTTTTACCATAACTTCGTTAATAATTGTGATAAATGCCTGCTTTTTTCACGATTATGTAGCTAAGACCTAAGGCTTAACTATCATATAATCATTCAAGTCATGTAACTAATACTACTTTTTAATTTTTTTCAAAATCTTCGAACATAACAAAAAAGTAAAAAAGTGCAACAACTTTGAACGTTTATAAAAAATTGAAAAAACATGTTCTTACTATTCGTAAGTATCTTAAAAACTTCCTTACGGTATCAGCTATTTACCGTAAAAATTTCATCAACCTAGCTTTACTACCTGCTACCGTAATTGTGGCTCAAATAGAACCGAACCCAAAATTGGATAACCCTCTGCTCAATAGAAATTGTTAGTTTCGGAAAAAAAATTTGCAAAAACCACAAAAACACGTTTGATTTTTACTGAACAGCAGATTATTATTCATTTATGTTATTTACAAGAGGTTTTCAAAATGTCTGCCTCTAACAGAAATGCACAGTGTACACCTACGTATGAAATTTTGTTTTAAATCTCTAAATGCTTGTGTGTTGTTATTCAACACATGTGTCGCTTCTTGAATTTTGTTCCTCAATGAATTTTCATTTGCACATTCTTGGGCGAATGTTATGTCTTTAAAATATCCCCAAACAAAAAAATCAATGGGGTTGAGGTCAGGGGAGCGTGGAGGCCATCGTATCGGTCCGTTTCGTCCGATCCATCTGTCTGGGAACCTTTCGTTTAAGTAGTTTCGCACGATCGTTGCGTTGTGGCATGGTGCACCATCATTCTGGAACACCATGTTCCGTCTGGCTTCCAGGCTTGAATCTTCCAGCAATAATGGTAGGCTATTTTCAAGGAAGCTTTTGTAGGCTACCGAATCCAACCTTGACGGCAGTTCAAATGGACCGATAAATTCCATATTGAATATTCCTGACCACATGTTCACACTAAAACGGTTGTGGTCCGCCTCGGCGTATAAGTTGTTCCCGGTACAGCTGAGCTGCTAAAGCGCCGTTGCCTTGAGCAACGCCATAATAATAATGCATTTCTGCATATTCACGCAACGTATAATGCATCACAAACTTCTTAGCAAACAAAGTCCAAATCAGTATGCAAAGCAGAGTCCCGGAATATCCAATTTTTTAGAGCACGAGGTTTCGGCTGATATGGCCTCTTATTTCGTCTGCAGGTGACTTAGCCTTTCGGGGTTATTTATACCAGAACGGCTGACGTGTCCTGTGCCGTAGATGACGTGGCTGGTCGGTGGTGATGACGTGTCCTCTACTACTTAAACGAAAGGTTCCCAGACAGATGGATCGGACGAAACGGACCGATACGATGGCCTCCACGCTCCCCTGACCTCAACCCCATTGATTTTTTTGTTTGGGGATATTTTAAAGACATAACATTCGCCCAAGAATGTGCAAATGAAAATTCATTGAGGAACAAAATTCAAGAAGCGACACATGTGTTGAAAAACAACACACAAGCATTTAGAGATTTAAAACAAAATTTCATACGTAGGTGTACACTGTGCATTTCTGTTAGAGGCAGACATTTTGAAAACCTCTTGTAAATAACATAAATGAATAATAATCTGCTGTTCAGTAAAAATCAAACGTGTTTTTGTGGTTTTTGCAATTTTTTTTTCCGAAACTAACAATTTCTATTGAGCAGAGGGTTATCCAATTTTGGGTTCGGTTCTATTTGAGCCACAATTACGGTAGCATGTAGTAAAGCTAGGTTGATGAAATTTTTACGGTAAATAGCTGCTACCATAAGGAAGTTTTTAAGATACTTACGAATAGTAAGAACATGTTTTTTCAATTTTTTATAAACGTTCAAATTTGTTGCACTTTTTTACTTTTTTGTTATGTTCGAAGATTTTGAAAAAAATTAAAAAGTAGTATTAGTTACATGACTTGAATGATTATATGATAGTTAAGCCTTAGGTCTTAGCTACATAATCGTGAAAAAAGCAGGCATTTATCACAATTATTAACGAAGTTATGGTAAAAATAAACACAGAACTCAAAAATTCTCGAAAAATCCGAAAAAAAATCATAACTCCTAAACTAAACAAAATCGGACCATATAATATATATTATATGGGGGTGATTTGGGTTCCTCTCGATGTGGGGAAATCTAATTTTTTTTATGACGTCACGTGTTTGGCCACCCTGTATAAGCTTATCCAGCTTTACAAATTTCGACAACAGCGCTGAGTAAGGAAAATATAACCTTACGAGACAAGCCTTCCCCTTTTATCTGTAACTACGGAGATTGTCTCGCTTTTGTGGAAAATCTAAATAACCAATAAACTAGAGCACTAAAATTCCCAATCATGTCCCCAAAACGTATCTCGCTTTTTTCATCAAAATCTCATTACAACTATTTCTGAGTTACGCGGACAGAAAATACACCAAAAGATAAATAGACGACATTAGGCCAAAAGACAGACATACCGAAGGGGTTGTGTGACATCGATTTTCGTGTTCTAGACATCATGATAACGTATTCCAAAACTTTTACTCAAAAATCAAAAATTTTCCGATCACAATTCTAATGCTTATTCCCTCCCTGCTGGCAACCTATTTTTAACGATCCAGTTGGTCATCGACCAGTACCATTAACGGATTACATAGATATTATTTTCATCTCATACTGTATTAAAAATCGCCGTACTATAAGTGTAGCATATTAAAGGATAAAAAATAAGGAATAATATCCAATTCGAAGAGCAAACAACTTGTGTCACAGTCAGATATTGACGCTTGATGGAACGTATTTTTCGAATGATAAAGTAGCACTTTCTGCTGTTAATATACAAATAACTATTTGAATTTAATCGAACGGAAATTGATTCCCAATCGTACAAATACACCTGAACTATATTTAGGATTGCCATTCCAGTTTATACCGAAAATCATTCCATCTGTTACAGTCAGCGCTACCTATTTTTGGGAACCTCCACGGTGGCTCACCAGTGAGAGTGTTGACATGGTGTTGACAGATTCCTATGTTCGCAAGACCTTGCACGATCAAAGTTAAATCTATACGTTGGTAGGTGGCAGTACCAAGATCTTTTTCAATTTTTGAATTTTGAAAATGTTATTAAACTTCAACCCTTTCAAAATGTTTGTGAATAATTTTGATTATCTATCCTGTGTATCTAATAAGCCTAACAAGGTGGAAGGTGGATGATAATCGTATTTATTTATGGATCAGTTATTAGTTATTATTAGATCCCCTAATACTGGCTATTTTTTTTTTATAAAAGTAGATTGTGAACTTACAAGATATAGGTATATTTTTGTGATTTTCCTGATAATGAGCGAAATAAAAAATCTAATAAAGTTCGCATAAGGGCGTCAACTGATAGAGAAGACTGTGTTACAAGTGCCACGACGCAACATAACCTTCAAAATTTAAATAATTATCCGAGCCGCACTTTGCCGCACTTCGCACTTGTTGGATGGGAGTTACATTTGCATTGACGATTGCTGACTGTTCTCTCATCATTGACCTCTAGGTGACCTGTCTCTTATCTTCGAAAATAACGTATTTTTTACTGCATATTTCCAGTGATATTTTGTATTATTTACGTGGTGTGACTTCGTGTCACACGAAAAATTTCCCATCTTATCCTGGGAATCTTTATACAACCGAATATCAAGTTCAAGGCGAAACTACTTCACAAAAATGTCTCTCAAGCAGTCTGTGAATATCCTAAACAACAAAGCAGGGCTTAATTGTATTGCACAAAGAGCAAGGTATGTTGAACATCTATATTTTCTGGAATCACTGTAGGCTTGACAAACAAAATCTAATCTTTTGTAGCTCATGGTGGTCTGGAGTTCAAATGGGCCCCCCAGATGCCATCCTGGGTGTGACAGAAGCTTTCAAAAGAGATACAAACCCAAACAAAATCAATCTTGGGGTAGGGGCTTATCGAGATGATAATGGAAAACCATATGTACTTCCATGTGTTCGTAAAGCTGAAGACCAGCTAAGAGCTAAGAATCTAGATAAAGAATACTCTCCAATCTCAGGCACACCAGAGTTTTGCAAACATAGTATTGAACTTGCATTATCTGAGAACTCTGATGTTATTAAAAATGGGCTGAATGCAACTGTCCAAGGCATCTCAGGAACGGGCTCACTCAGGGTTGGTGCAGCTTTCTTAAATGGATTCTTCCCAGGCAACAAGGTTGTTTACCTCCCCACACCTTCTTGGGGTAACCACACTCCCATTTTCAAACATGCTGGGCTGGATGTCAAGTCATACAAGTATTATGATGCAAAAACTTGTGGATTAGACTTTCAGGGTGCTTTGGACGATATTTCGGTAAGTAGGTATTAGCAACACCGAAGACAGTTATATATTTAGTATCCAATTTATCCTGTTGCCAGAAAATGCCAGAGAAATCAATAATACTTCTACATGCATGTGCACACAACCCAACAGGTGTAGATCCCAATCAAGAGCAATGGGCAGAGCTATCACAGTTAGTGAAAAAAAGGAACTTATATGTTTTCTTTGATATGGCATACCAAGGATTTGCAACCGGAAGTGTGGACAATGATGCATTTGCAGTAAGTATTATTTTTTTTAACCCACAGCAGCATCGACTTTCAGCTCATTAGCCGAGTATTATATATTTTTTCATACTTGAGCCACCATCTGAGAATAAGGCCTGATGTTTGGGGGCAGCGCAGGGCTATAGGGGGGTTCAGAGGAAGGGGAGACGTCACATGGATTCTAGAGAGGAAACATGTGGTCACGTGACATGTACACATTCTGGCTCTACCTTAGTGATCCGAGAGGCAGTACTCTACACTCGACAGCCTGAGACACCTATAGATAATTCATTATAATTCAAATTGATTGGTGAAAATATACTTATGTACTTGCACAGGTGAAATACACAAGTCCAGTTTGACTTAAAATGAAAAAAAAAACAGTAGAGACTAAGGCATCAAACAAAAAACTAAAAGTTTTAAAATGTATGCTAGAGAAATTCATCCGTACTATGGAAGGCACCAGGCTTCAAGATGCTTCTCATATTTTATTTATATTTGTTGACAGGCATGTATCTGTTGCTTTTTGGCAGATGATAAAAAATATTATGTCGTGGTACTCTGGAGACTTCTGACATACATAGCCAAAAGAAAATTTCTTGTAGGACGGGATTCGAACCCATGCATCTCACTGAAACTAATTAATAGACCCATAGTAACTACTAAACCACTGCTGTGCTGCCAATATATCTTATTACTATAATGATTGAAGGACCATTAAAAAATCTGGTGTTTTTTTCAAGCATGACTGCTATCAATTTTAAATGTAGCTCTTTTCTTGATATTGTAGTCCATAGTATACCTAAAACATTTAGTCCAATTTAAATACTGTTTTAAATATTTAAACTTAGCCCAATTAAATTGTTAGAATAGGGGAGGTATTAAACTTTAGCGGTTACTGTTGACAAACATCTGAAAGAATTTCAAGATTGTTTTTTTATTGTTGTTTTCTTAGCCAGTGCTGCCCATACGGTAAATTTGTTCACATATTGAGAAGTCTATTGTACCATTGGCAGTTACTCGAATTAGCTTATCATTGTAGGTATTTTGAAACATTGTAAACCATTCCTCATCATTGTACCTTAATAGAGATGTTCCAAGGGCTAGTGGTGCTACAATGTATTCCATTCAGGGTATTAAAATAGAGTACTTGGCCAAACTTCAAGGAAAGGTTGCTTGGGTGATTCTAATACTGAAAGAACATACATAGTTTCAGATGTTCATTATTTTGAAGTTACAGAGGTTCAGACTTTTACGAAAATCGCTTTTCGTTGAAAAATAATAATGTAGCTATTGGCAGAAATTTAAATAAAATCGAATAAAAATGCTTTTTTAAATCCAAGATAGCCATTTTGACACGTATATCTCAGGATTTATCAGTAAATCCGTTCAATTTTGTGGCTTTTTACCTTTTGCAGCCTTTTTTGTTATACATATTCTGTAATATCTCTGTGGATACAAAATGTCAACAGAATTATTGGATTTTTGAAAAGAGAGTATGTATCTTGGAAACACAGCATTTCACAATTCCTATGCTTGTTATAATCTGTTTGTCTTCCCCTTGAAGCTTGCTTAGGTTATTATCTGTTTGAATATTGTGATTAACAAAAACTAGAAAAATAATGAGGTAATTCTATAATTAAGATTAAAATTGCTTGATTTATTTCACAAAATCATTGTTGTTTCATACAAAACCGAAATATTTCAGTTTAGACTCATTGTTTTTTGTATAATTTATTTTTGCTTGCTTGAGTGTTTTGCAAACAGTGTTTTCATTAGAAAGATAAGCACGAAAATAGACAGAAATGTACTGACAAAGTTTTATGATGATCAATAATGGTTGAGTTAGTTTACAAACAGATATAAACTACGTTTGTGAGACGCTATCGTTTCAATCCGTAATAGGTAGAAAATATTCAGATAATTATAAAACAAACATGCTTCGAAAATGGGTCATACTGTGTACTTTGAAGAAAGCTGGCACACATTTTGGAGCCGGCGCGAACGGTTCAAAAGAAATAGATTACTTGTAAAATGGAGTCACGTAACTCCATGCCATGTGGAGCAATGCTGTTGAAGATTTTAGTCAAAGATCAAGAACAATTCAGTAGATTCAATAACGGACACTGGCATAGCCACCTATACCATGTTTATATCGTAGGTAGCTAAACGTTTACACGGTGTAAACGGTCACAGAACAGCATTTTCGCACAAAACCATGCTGTTCTGGAGCTGTCTAAGTGTTGGCTACGTACCGTGTAAACATGGCCATTGTGCCGTTTGAAAGACCAGTAGAATATTAAATCAACGAATATTTTTTAATCACCTTATAGGTACGCCAGTTTATCAAAGATGGTCATCAGATCTGTCTTGCGCAAAGCTACGCCAAAAATATGGGTCTATATGGAGAACGAGCTGGTGCATTTACTGTAGTTGGTCCTTCCAAAGAAGAAGCAGATAGAGTAATGTCTCAGTTGAAAATTCTCATCAGAGCTTTGTATTCCAACCCGCCAATTAACGGCGCAAGGATTGTTACAGAAATCCTGAGCGATCCTAAACTCAAAAGTGATTGGTAGGTACATTCATACAGGGTCAGTTTTTAGTGTGGGCTCGGGCGGTAACCCCGTTATCACGGATCGTATCTAAAAAAATGCTTCTTAGCTGGAAAATCTTTTTATCTCTGCAAGTTGATCCATAATTACGTGAAATATACATCGTTTTAAGTGGAAAGACCTACGTTTTATTAAAGATTTGAGGCAGTTTGTTATAAATGTACTACAGAGCTAGCTGTATTTTCAAGTTGTTGACATATTGGACATTGTATTAAAAAAAATACACAACTTCGACAACTCGCACTTCCGCAACTATTGTAGCATGAGTACTAAATTTTTCGTCATAAAAATTATTTTCTTTCTATTCGCTTACCTCTTCAGTTTTTTTCACAGTTTCTGCAGGTCGGCCAAGAACGTAAAGTAAACGATTCGGAACCATTCAGGTACGTAAGAACCGAAATTTTTGTAGAATTCTTTATTTTGAGTTCTGCAAGCCTGTATATACTACCTGAATAAGTGAAAATATGGGGGTTACAGAAGTTTTCTGATAAAAAATTCAATGCTCTGGCTATAATAACAGTTACGGAGGTGCGAGTAGTCAAAGTTGAGTATTTTTTTCCGATATATTATATTATATATATATATGTAGATTCTGATGGATCGGTCCTCCACTCATGGGCTTTTTAGAGTCGATAGGTCCTCCGCTCTGATAGGTCCTCCGTATAAGGAGGACCTATCGCAAATTCCACCTATCGGCCCCTCAGGCCCCCCTCTGTCACCTGGCAAAATTTCAGAGGGATGACCTAGATCATGTTTTTCGCCGAATTTGGGTACCGTAGTTCAGGGTTTTGCCGCGCCGATTTGGTGGACTCACGATCGCTTGGGTATTCAGCCCGTATATTATCAAATATTACCAGTCAGGTCTACAGTGGATCGGTCATCTGCCGGGTATTCAGTATCCAGATTATCGCTTTTAGATCCTCCTTAATATTGGCATCGCTGTATTAGGTATTTTATTATATTTGCTGTGTTAGAGGATCGGCTTTTCACCTTTCTATGTCTGGTGCGGCCCAGTTCGCCGTCAGGCATTATAATAGGGGCGTCCGTGACCGAGAGTACCGTAATGCAGCAATAATATATTTGTTCGATTACTATCATTATTAATATAATTATGATTACGATTATGGTTGTGATTATGATTATGATTACGATTATTATTACTAGTTTTCGGAAAAAAATGTTTTTCCAATCAGGTTTTAGACTCATAACAAGTCGATTTGACATAAGTCACCTCTATGCAAAAGTGCTTCGTTTATTTGCCAACTAGATTTTTACGCTTGATGTGTTAAAACATTTTTTTAGAAACCAGCCCCAAAAAAGGTTTTTTTTTCTCGAAAACTATGAAAGATATCTCGTTTTAATGAGAGACAAAGGATGGAATAAATAAAAAAATCGGTCATGAGGAAAGTTGGGAAAAATTCTGCTACAATTTATGTAGGTGTGGGGGTAGTTTTCACCCTTCCAAAAAGCTCTGGAGTTTTTCGTAAAAGGCAAATATTAGAACGCTGAGCAGAGCATATGTGTTCCAAATTTCATTAAAATCGACCTACCGGCTTTTGAAATATCTTGGAAAACGTGTTTTTAAAAGAAAACTTTGATGCCCCCTAACGAAGCACCTTCGAATACAGATAACTTATGTGCAATCGACTTGTTCTCAGTCTGAAAATAACTAGTAATCTCACGTCCATGGAATATTGGGTCACGATGTGTACAATACATGATTATATGAACAAAGAGCAAAGTTTAGCGTAAAGCTACTCAAGCTAAATTAAAAAGGGTAATATAGATAGACCATTATGCAAATACAACCACATGAATAGAAAATCAAGGATGGTGTAGTATTAAGGAAAAATGTTCACAAAAAAACACTCTCAAATATGATAAAGGTGATGCTCAAATCCAATTTCCTATAGAATAAAATAAAAACAAATATGCTAATCCTAGTTTTACAATTTAAAAAATATGCTTTTACTTACCGCGCCTATTGGCAGGGAATTAATGTAATCACAAAAAATTCGCTTTAGCTGCAGTGGTTGCAGAGTGGTCAACAAACGAAGAGAAAATTGCATAAACTTCGCTTTCGGACAATGACCTACATTTTTCAACATTTTGTGCTTTGACAACCACGCGGTTATAGGAGCGAAGGATAAACGCAAATAATATCGGTATGAATTTTATTTACGAAAATACATAAGAAGAAAACTGAATTTATACATTGACAAAATGAAACTACTAAAAAATGCTTATACTTAGTTTGTGATACATATGTTCATACTTAATTTCTACTTTATTAAAAAAACGGGTTCGCTCATAAATTGAGATGGTATTCATTTTTTCTTTCGGTACTGGTTCTGGATGAAAACTTTGATTTTTAGCCAGTCCTTATTATGTAATAATTCAGTATGACTTGCGATGAGGTTATCGCATTCAGCCTTTTTTGGGGCCCTCTTAGATTTAATGTGATTTCCAAAGTGAACCAAGACTAAATTTTTCTGATCTTCAGTCCAAGGAACTAGAACCCTGGACTTTTTCTTTGGTAACGTTATATCCACTTGCTGAGATTCCGGATCTGGATGCGGTTCTTGGATATCTTCATATTGGCATAGAGGCTCTGGGTGGTTATCATCCTGCTGCGCTTCTGATATCAAATTCTCGTCTAGATTCAAATTAATTTCGTCCAGGGATTTTCCTTTGAAATGACCTGCCTCGCCCTTCTCCATCAACGTCAAAATCTTGGAGAGTCTAGCCGTTTGGTAGACGTCATCTGGTAATCGGTATGATGCACGGTGGATACCTAGTGTATGTCCCATAAAAGATGCGAGTTGTTCCATGTCATTTTCTGACATGTTGAACAATTGAGTCAAGGTTGCCAAGTGCTTTCTCAGACGGGTGCTAGTCAGAGCATGCGGATTTTTCGCTTGACATAACGACGCATACTTTTTGATTACCTTGTAACCAATAATGGGTTCTTGGGAGTTAGGTTTACCGAAAAGATATATGTTCGACACCGTCTGAATATTATCTCTACACTCTAGTATTAGATTCAAGTGATCCTGTACATCCTTGCTTATAAGAACTGGAACACCTCTGCCTCTTTTTCCACGGATTACTATTCGTTTGAAAGATCTCATTAGAATTCTCTCGGTTTCTGTTATTGCTTCTGAAAACTCCTCATAGGCTTGATTGTGTTCCTCAGATATAGCGGATTTGTAAACATGTATGGGAAGTCGTTGTAGTTCTCCAGGCCGCCTCCTATTTAATAAAAGCAACCTACAATAAACTGTCTCGAGTAAAGACGTGTATGCTTTTTCATTGCTTGGATTTTTTTGTAGCATTGATACCTGATTTGCAGCTACTTTCATGAGGTAATCCTTCAATAGTTTGAGATCAGTAGCTAACGGTACCAAAGTGACCTTATTCCATTTTTTTAGGTTGAGGTCATTAGCAGCATTGGTTGAAATATCGAATCGCCAATTTGCCTCTATGAGTTGGATGCATGTTTTTATATCTGCCTCAACGTTTGCATTATCTACTGTTGGCAGTGACTTAGATTTTTTTAGAACGTGTAAAAGAGCCACATCGCAACATTGTTTTAAGGTTGTACCCATGTTCATAGCATATGTGGGGGATTTATAAGTTTGGCTTTCGTCATCATATCCTGATGTTAATTTAGTTGCTTTCACAAGTATGTCATATTTGTGTGGTTTTAGAGCATCAAATAGGGTAACCACAGACAAATCTAATTTTTTTATCACCATTAGAAGTCGAGCCAATTCTCTCATTTTCCTAGAAACGACTTGGACAAAATGTAGCTCCCTATGGAGTTTCAGATATCGGGAAGCAAACGCACATATTAATTTATCATTTTTCGCAACCAATGAAACTTTGTCAGGTCTCATGCGAGGAAATACTTTTACTTTGAGCTCAATATCTACCTTTATATTACCCAATAACAGAGTTTGTCCTAAAGCCTGTGATCGTTTGCCCGACGATCCCTTCTCCGGGTTTGCATCACATTGTTTGCGATGACGCCATAAGTTCTTTGCAGAATAGTAACCCATACAGTGGATGCATGGAAGATATTCCGTTTTTTCCGCACCTTTTCTAACAGGTTTTATCCCCTCTCCCCTCAAAGGCGTAGAGTTGATAAATTTACCCTTTTTCCTTAGAGCAAAAAGCAGTTGTTGCCTTTTACGGCTTAAAACAGGTAAAGCTAGAAATTCTTGTACCTCAATTTCATTCGTATGGTTTCTTTTCAAATGACGTGGAAAATGAAAAACCTCACATTCACAAAAACAACAGAAAACTGTAACTTTTTTCTTCTTTCCTGACAGTCCAGTATTCACTGATGAAGAACCAGACTGACTGGGTGCAGACTGATCACATTCTGCGGTGGGAATTGATTCAGCTTTTGCATGTATAGTAACATTCTTCTTGACACTTGCCGAATGTAAGTTGTCTCTGGCCTCATCGCTCCTGTCCAGTTCCTCGTCCTTTCAAAAGAAAAATAAATATAAATACAATAAATGCATAAGCATCGCGACAGGTGGACAGTACTTATACTTATCATTGGAGGCGTATCAAATGAAATGTTCAGTGAATAGTGTTAGTATTGACGTTCAATTTTGTATGTTGTTTCATTGATCAATTCATAAAATATCATGCCGTCTATGCTAAGGAATGACCATTGTTTTTCAACCACATTTCCCTCTTTCGTCTCTGGCCTTCTCTCACTTGCCAAGCAATAAGCGGAGAACCTTATCCTGAGCAAAGTTGTTCCAGTAAAAATAGATTTTATTATACCTATTTGGAAAAATGGCATCAAGCAGGCTGACTCTATACTTCCTACGCCTTCAAGATGGCTCTTAGTGCAATTTCCAATATAGTGCAATTGAATCTATTAATCTGCTGTCAAAAATAGTGGTTACAATTTGAATTCAAAGTTTTTACTTATAGATGA